CCCCGCCCGCCGGGCAGGGGGCGGGGGGAGGCGGAAGGCAGAGGATTCCCCAGCGGAGAGCTCCTGTGGCACTGCCGCTCCGCGCTCTTCGGGGAGGATAAGCCCATCCTCCGGGTGCCTAGGCAGCGCCAGAGAGATTCTGGAGGAGAAATGACAAGAATGAGAAACTGGGTATGAAAAATATTAGAAGGAAACAGAGGCTTGTTAAAGCAGATCGATTCCCTTTTTAAAAATAGTCTTGCTAAAACACGTGCAACATGACTGAAAAGGTATTGACTGCTCTTGGAAGATCGGTTTGCTCCAAAATGTCCAACACTTCAAATGTAGAAATTCAATTAAAATATTTGCGTGTTGTTTTATGGTTATCGTGCACATCATTATCCTAAACCCCTACTGTTGATGCTCTTTGGTGGAAATTTCACGGAGAAATGTTTCATTGCTGCGATTACGCTGATCATTACAGCGATTTGGCCCACCTATAACGACAGCTTTCCTGCAATTCTCTTCAGGGTGCAGCCTAGCTATTTTCATAGGGTTGGATGTCATCCATAGCATTAAAAAGGTCCCCAAACCCCTTTCGTAGTTTGGACTTGCTACAGGTTACAGAAGTCTTACCATCACCAGGGAAGAACAAAACACGTGCCGAAGGTCAACCGTATCCACCATATGAATGAGCAAGGATTACTTCTGCTTCAAAGTAGAAGGTGACTTAAAGATTGGACACTTTTGAAGCAGTAATACAGCAGAGGTCAGTTACACGGCAAAAAAAGTTGTTAGTTAATATGAGAGATGATCAGAATCAAGGTGATCATGAGACATGGCAGGGTAAGCAACAAAAGGAAAGGCATTTAGAGCTGAAAAGCAGGGGAGCTAATCAATGGATTATAAAGATTTCAGCTGGAGAAGAAAGGGGAAGATCAACTAAAAGAGTGACATTTTGACATATCTGTTGAGGTCCCTGATGTCCTCAGAGGTGTGTGTCTGGGTGCACATATAAAAGATCCTCCAGTAATGAGAATGGGACAAAATACAAGGATTTTTTTTTTTTTTTCTTGGTTTTAACGCAACAGGAGGAGCATATATTTGGACTTGGGTTGCCAGAGGTTGCTTCTATAAGCAGCACGGATAAGCTCCAGTACACTGGGGGCAGTCATGCCATTCGGAGCAACAACGGACACAATAGCTTGGAAGTGCCAGGTTCGACAGACCGTTCTCCAGATGACATTCGCTACTTTTGCTCCATAAGGCTCAAACCCGGTGTTTGAAGGCTCAGTAATAGCATATGGCATACTGACTAAAGTATTTTCCTGCAGGACTGCTCAGGGTCATGGGACCATTGCTCATTTAGGAAAAGCTGCATTTGCAAGTGTGAAGCAACCTCTGAAGTCACTGGCTAAGCAGAACATGTATTAATAAGATGTGTATGACACTAATACTTATTCTGTCACTTCCTTTCTGTTTTATAAATGAGCTAAATGTAGCTTTTAAGGATTATGAAGATCATACACGGATGTGAATTGCTTTCTTATTAAACCAGAACTGCATCAGAGCCAAGAAGTATGCGTTTGCATTCACATTCAAACCTGAAAGCACAAGAGTTTGTGTCCGGTGACCCAAGAGTGTTCACAGTTGCAAAACTGAGTCTGAAAGCATAATGTTCAGAACTGTAGTTACAGGAGCAGAAAACTTAAGCTTCTGGGAAACTTAGATATGTTTCTGACATTATATTTTCTGTATCATGCTCACAATAAGAGCTCCATCCCTATTGGAGTCGTATAATATGGAAACACAAACGTCAGAGTACATGTTTAGAAGCTCCTGGCAATTTTAATACCAAATGTGCTATGATTGCTGATAACCTGCTTTGGAAGCACAGTATTGAACAGGATTTTTTGCTTCTTCAAGAGATTAACTTGCATGAAGGATGGAGCTGCTGTGTTGAGCTGCTTCTGGTAGTTGTGAACTTGGCGTTAAGCCATGCAAGTAGAATGCAACAGCTCTCTCAGCTATGTCCTCAAGGAATTACCTGCAAACCCACTATTTCTAGTTCAGCTTGGTGTGTCTAAATTAGCAGGAGCATTGTTTCCAGTAGTCATCTCAGTCAGTTTTCTGTTTCCTGTATTGGAGAAAGATCAAGAAGCTACTTTCATATACATAAGAATTGTTTAGGTAGGAGCATCCCCGTAGAATTCATAAATTTGTAGTAGACTGACAGCGTGCATCTCAAATCATTGCAAATTTGCATTGTGAAGATTCTAAAGAGGTTCAGCACCAATTAAAAATGTAGCAAAAGTAACTATGTGAATCTAAATTAAGTTCTTTTAGTTATTTCTGGTTTACAAGTCGGTTTTAGTTTTAGATTCTATTACTGAATCCTTGGCTCGCTTGCTCAATATCCTCGCACATCAGCAAGAGGTTTTAGGCGAGTGAAGAGTCCCAGTCATGAAAGAGCATACAGCTGTCACAGGGCTTCAGCACTGACTCTTCCACTTCAGGCAGCTTAGTCAAAGAAACGAGCTCTGTCAGATGTCTAGTAAGGGAAACCTATTTACTCCACTCTTCTGGGGATTGGTAAACTTCATTTAAATGCCAAATCAAGCCCAAGAATTGCAGCAAATATGTCAGAGGATGAGTTGTTTCTTTCTGGAAAGGATCCCACTGTTCTCTGTCCCTCGGTGAAATGTGGTAATTCTCATTTGAATGACAGCGGAACATCCACGGGCTACCTTTTGCAGAAACAGTAACTGCTTTTACTTTTTAAGTTTTAGTAGTGTTCCAGATGAAGCAGCATAGTCTGCATGCCTGTGTTAAGTTTTACAATGGATCTGCTTTCCCTCAGGAGACAATTTGTTTTTCCCTTTGACATCAGCCTGTCTCTCTCACTGCTCCGGTATTGCTTCACGCGAGAGCCGGGCACATTGAACTACGTACGCCAAAAGAATCCCCTAAAACCAATCCCCTAAGAAAGGAAGACTCAGTCCTGCAAGGATCAGCCATTATGCCTCCAAGAAATCAATTATGATTACTTTTGAGGCTCGAGATAAAGTAAGAGGCTTTTCTCTCACGGAAGAAAATAAAAACCGTCCAGATTTCCATAGGTGCTTTACAGAATGTCAGCTGGTGTATCGCAAGCATAGTTTTCCTTATTTCCAGTACTCCAGAAATAGCAACCTATTCTTATTACCACGATTCAACACTCCCCCTGGAGAGAATGAACACGCATTTAGCTTTGACCAGTGAAACCCCGAACCTTATGCTCACTTCAAGTCTGTGAAAATATTCATGTAAGTTTTCAAGATCAGGCCCAAAGAATGCAGTTAAAAATGCCTTACACCCTTTGCTTACCTTTTAAGCTATTCGGTACAGACAAGGACTTAAGCCACCTTCTTATTTTTCAACATTGTTGCAGTCTTTACATGTGTTCTTTAAACATTTTACTTTTTTTTTATTCTATTGGATGCTTTTTCACAGCACCTGTCTTCTATAAAGTGGAAGATTCCTCGGACAGGGGTGCTGTTTCCCAGTAGATAATTTTACAGTTATTTTCAGCACATTATATGGTTATGAGAGGCTGGAGACTAACTTATTCTCAGCCATTACTTTTCCGTTTCCAAGAGTGAAATCCAAAGGATCCTCACATAATGGATGCCCACAAACTAACCGCCTGAAGCAACCCTTCCCCCCCGCCACGCTGCGCGCCTTCTGGAAACCGCCCTATGGCTAGGTGCTGTCAGCTGTGCCGTACCGTCTGCAACAGTTTCATTTCATGTAGCGGCATTTCATCTCCCTTTTCGGGCCGCAAGGACGATAAGAGAATCCGCACACAAACTTCATTGTCCTCAACTTCAACCCGACCGCCGCAGCTGTGCCAGCAGAAATACTCAGTGCCTCTCCTCCGAGGGCAGAGCTGTCTCTGGCTGGCACTGCCACCCCCTCCCAGCTCCTGCCTCCCCCGCGGTCGCTGGCTCTTGCTTCAGCATCCGCGCTGCTTTCCTCTGAAGAGCTAAGTAACTTCGCGGCCACTTGATCCAGTATGAAATGAGAACAGATCTGAATGGATGAAACATACTGTCTTTGGAAAAACAAGGATCCCTCTTCATCAGTTATACAAGCTTCCTCTATAAAAGGAGGAAACTAGTTAAAATATCTCTCGTGACAATTGCTTTACTGCTTTTTCCTGCAGTCCAACTAGCTTGGCACATTTTACCTTAGGGATATTTACAAATAGTTTCTATTTTCTTACTGTCTAATCTAAATAAACAATTTTAACAGCTGCCCAGGGCCAAATGGCAATACGCCTTTGAGGTGGTGGTGAGGGAATTTTGTCACAGACTTACTGTGATTCAAGAAAGAGTGTGACACGATTTAAAAGATGATGTTTCTGGATTTCTGCTAACTTCCCGGTCCCTTCGTTCTCTGTAGTGTAGTGCCTCTGTACTTTTCTCTTCCCTGAACTGGCTACTGCTTCCTGACAGAAATTATACCTGCAGGGCACTCCAGCTTCCCCAGTAACAGGCAGAAATCTACTTGTAGTCAGAATTTAGAGGAAAGCAAATGTAGGAATACAAAGTTCCCGGACAGCCATGATGTAGGGCAAGTGTCTAACCACATCCAGTGATCCAGTGAACAGCTTGGTCACTATTTCTTCCTTGACCACGTGTTGTCAGGAAGGTTTCACAGTGTACTGTAAAAATGACTGCCCGAACGATTTGGAGAAGACTTGAATAAGAAGCTTTATTCTGGTCTTAAGAGGGGAAAAAGCCAAGGATTTTCCAAATCCATTAAAATGCATCTGAGATTGGAAAGAGATACATTGTTTGAAACTCACCCATGTAGATTTAAAAAAGATGCTCTTCCTGAGGGGAACGCCACCTTTGGAAGACACCGTTATTAACAGCAGATGTATCTCCTTGGGCCCCGCCTTAATTCTTTCTTCTACCACAAGATTAGTGTGACAGAGCCAGCTTGAAAATGAAACTGTGAAACCGGAGTTTACATAGAAATTTGGGGGGAAAAAGGCAGAAATATTACATGTCACCTCCCTTCCTGCTTCCCTGCTCCCCTCACATATTTGCAACAAACACAAAATCTCTCCACGTTTCAACCGAGATCCACCGATTTCCCAGTAATATAAGCCTCCATCTTCCTTTCCATTTAGCTTGGGTCCCTCACTTCGCCGGAGCATATGCAGACACAACTTTTGCCATGAAGAGAATTCGGTAAGATTCCTTAACGTCCCCTTTTAAGGTCAGGAGGGCTGTCACAAGCAGAGGGTCATCAGCCTACAAAAAGATCCACACATAAAACCAACCTATTTTTTTTTTTTTTTACATAGAACAGATTAGTTGATCAAGTTCTAAACTATGTATTTTACATCTCAGTTGTAAGATGTACCAGTTATAGCTGTAGGTTACCTCTCTTCCCACTGTGTTGGCCCTTTTGTATTTTCACGCAATGCTCATACTGCAGTAAGTGTGACTAAGCATTCTACCTCCAGAGTGCCACAGATATCGTCACCACGTTACAGCCATGACAACTGGGCACAGCAGCCACAGAGTACGCTGCAGTGAGGGTTGGGAAAGAAATGGATCCTGTTAGCTATCGGTGAGTGTTAAACCTTGTGTAACAACCAGTGGTTACCAAGAGGCACGATGTCAACCTGATACATCATGCCAGGAACTCTCCTGCCTTCTTCCTGCACATGACAGCAGCAATCTTTTAATTTTGGAACAAGCTACTCATTCTGCCATCCCACACACAGCTCACAACAAAAAGCAGAGGAGTAAATTCTTTCAGTTTCCATGAATGCCCAGGAAGATGAATCAGGAAGGACAATCACAGCCCTGTAGAGATGTTTGGACCTCATACCTAGACTGCAATGCAAAAAGGCAGAAACAGCCAGGGAAACAGGGTTCAGGAAGCAGTTCGTAAAGTGGAAAATCAAGAAGTCAGCCCCACTGACTTCCAGGAATATACTAAAGGAAAGGCAGCCCACAGCCAAAAGAAATGTGAACGCTGTAGCAGAATGATCCATGTAAACTTGGCCCTGTGTCAGCAGGACCGCAGGCTTTCTTGCACAGGGGGCACTGAAAAGCTCACTTCAGTCTGATCAAAGCTGTCTTTTAGTTAACAGCAGCCGCATTTTGGCCTTTTGGTGCTGTATAATGCAGTGACCTGTAAGAAGTTATTCTAAGTTCTGTAAGATGCAAGCAACTACTGCTTGTTCTTTTCACCACACAGAGGAACGGTGGGTGGTGAGGTAGCAAGCCTCCAGATCACACATATTGCTCCTGGCTTTTATTCTCGTACCAGTGTTTATACCAGCCTACACTCCTCTTCGGTAACTACACGCGTTCCATCACCCTAATGTGTCAAAGCAGCTTGTAGCGCTGACATCTTCAAGATCAGCTTTTGTATTGCTCCTACAAGTCGGTGAAAGCTGCCGCACACCTCCCGGCTGAGCGGCGCCAGTTCACTTACACGCGAGTCAGCAGGTGGCACCCAAGAAACGCCGATGCATTTCACTTGACCAGGCTCAATCGTTCCCTTCACAGATTCAAGAGTGAATCCCTTCTGCTGCAGGAGGGGCAGGCTGTCAAAACTGAACTCCATGTTCTGCGAGAGACACACACAACACACCCTCGTTGCAGCCGGTTCTGCTCCTTCAAGCACAACGACTCTTTATTAAAGGCTGCGCTGCCCAGATGCTCTGTGCGGGCCTATTGCTCGCCAAATGGCTTCTGCCCTTGAAACTGCAAGTATCCATCTGGTTCATTGTGTCAAGTTGTCACAAAATACTACGCTAAAACAACAGGATCAGACCTGTAATTCGGTTCTCTGCTCAAATGTCTATATTTCAGAACTAGGGAAGCAAACCGCTACAATAATTTTGTTGCTGACTTGATACGATAATGCTGATTCCTCATATTATCCCCTGAAAAATAATCTTTTCTTTTCAAACACTGATGCTTTTATAATGTAACCCTGAAAGCTGTATTTTTAATTTATAGGCTGAATTTTTGACAGAAAGAACTAGTAGCCATTTGTACACCATCAGTATTCCTTACAGTGTCTGGCATAAGACTACACTTTTTATTGTCTTCACCTTCTTAGATGCGAACTTAGCTGTCTGTATAGCTCCAACTTTCAGTTCTGTCATTGCTGGCACTGGAGAACTCTCTCCCTCGATGTACTCCAGAATGAGGAGAATGGACCTCACTGGTTCTTGTAGCTCTAAACAAATACGAATCAAGTAAACTTTGAGACAGTCAAAGCTGAGCAATTATCGGTTTGGAACAAGCATAAATCACACCAGGATGGTTCAAAACAAAGTGATGTTGTGGTAAGTTCATGAGTTGGCATAGATAAGGAGAGCCCTCTTACAGAGTTAGTGAAGAATTAACCAAAGAAGGTTGTGCATAATTTGCAATTGCAAACTGCAATTGGTAGTCATTTATCAAGTTTCGTGCTTGTTTTCTAGCCCCATGGCACATACATTGTGTTTACTGTATTCCTACTTGTATATCGTATGTGCTTAGATTTATTCATAGCTCAGGAGCTAGCTCTGAACACAGATTCTGTCCAAAGAAATTAAGGAAGGATAAATTCAAACCCCTGAAAGTGTCTCTTTCATAACAGTACAATGGGGAGAGTCCAGGGTATGTTTTTATATATGAAATAATTTTATAAACGTTTAATACAAGTCAGAGAAGTGACAGAAAGCAAATACAACTTCATACTTTGTAGTAGTATTAAATTATAATAATTTTTTGCAAGGTAAGTTGCGAAAAGAGAAGATCATCGCTAGGATATAACTGCATTAAAATTAAGAGAAAAATCTTTCCTTAAGAGAAAGTTTCCTGCATTTTTTTGGCGTTACGAATATAGGCTATACCATAATGCTTATTTGCTCTGATTCTGGAAAAGTTGTCTTTAATTTACTTTTTCTTAAAGGATGAGGAACATGCCCATGTCTCGTCGCTCACTGTTTTGTAATGAAGCGTAAGTGGTAGCACGTTACCGCCTTTTAGTGCTTCCTGCGATGACACAGGTGATGTTACAGCCAAGGACTCAACGGGCACGTCTAGGGGAACCCCCCCTTCCACAAACATTGGCTGATCTCTTGCTGCACCCTTTAGGTGGATCACATGGGCTATTTTCTAGATAAGACAAGAACGCTTCAAATGCAGGTTACAGCTTAAGTACCGAGGTAACTGGAACATTGACACAACAGCATCAGTTGCATAGAAATTATTACATCATCTGCCTATATAAATGCCCAGAGGCCCTGTCTAATGCAAGAATCCCGCATCTTTCCCTTGTCCACTCACGCAGATCTGTTTTAAACGGCCTTTCATTCCTGGGCAATGTGCCTCAGGAGCGGCCTGGACAAACTATTCATACTAAAGCCACTACGAAAGGCAAAACTTATCTGCCGCCAAACTTGGCTAAAGTTTGTGAACTGGGACCAGTCCCCATTCATCTTCAGCTTATTCCAGTTTGCATTCTTAACTGCAATTCCAAAGACAATCTGGAGATACAAAACTTGCAAGGAGAGAAACAGTAGTTAGTTGCTCACTACTGGTTTCTGCTCTGTTTGCAGTGCCTGCTGCTGCTCGTTAGTTGGCACTCGTCATTAACATTTGGCCAGTCTCTGTTGGAACACGGCATAAAGCCACCCGCGGTGCTGCCAGCCTCTATGTCCTGACTTGGGCTCCATCTAAGCTCAGCTGCCGCTCTGCAGATGGAAACCTCCTTCCTCTGCAGATGGAAACCTCCTTCCTCACGCTGAGCGACTGCAGAAGCAGCTTCCTGGTACTCGGCACACCTGCCGGTTTGCGCTGCGCAGGTGTAGCTCCGCTCTCCGCTCCCATTAAACGCTACTTGCGGAGAACCCCCTTGGAGCTGTGTGCTCGCCACTGCGGCAGCAACCTAGCTCCCACCCCCTCATTTACAGAGAGCTGGGCGGGAGACAGGACTGAATCCCAAGTCACTATTGTTATGAGTTAATAACTGAATATTTAAAACCTGAAAAAAAAGTCAGTGGGCCCCAAACCTGCCACCACCTACCTACATCAGTTAATCTAATAAAGACGGTATTTCTGCCTACAAATGCTGCCCGCTAGATATAATTATCTGAAACTCCTAAGACCCCTGCTGATAAAAATCACTGTAGGTCATATTTAGACTTCGATTTCACAAGCCAGGTGTCTTTGATTGTCTCACCTTGCCAAAGAGCACAACCTTGAGACGGTCAGAATAGTACAGGCTTTCATGATCAGGACTGAAAGTAACAATAAAATCCTGACTCTTCCCAGCAACAATTTCTCCTTCTGTTGGAAAGATGCTGAACACACTTAAGCCATTATAGTTCTGTGTTCCTGGTAAATAAAAATGAGGATACAAATAAGAAAGGAGGACAGCTCTGGTTTACTTCTTCATATATTTTAAACCCATTTAATCTTTGTTGGAACAGCAAATAAGTAAGACCTGTTTTGCAGCAAAACAGGGCGTTAGAAATACCAGATAAATCCATCTGTCAGTTTAATGCATTCATCTCTAGAAAAACTGAAGAAGCATCATGAAACTCTTCCTGTATTCTAGCATGTGGTTTTACAGAGATGGACATCCCTAAATATAATCTTTAATATGCAATTACTGTGTGGGTTTATTTCGATTCAAACACGAGTATCTCCTTACTTGTGGATATTTGCTCAGGCTGCATAAATTTACAGCTACCCACATTGAAAGAATTAGTACAGCTCCTACTGGGTAAACAAAATTATGTCTTTAATTTCAGTGATGTGATGCCCCAGGTTTTGACAGCTGTGTAGATCTAACAGGACAAAGTAATGCTGCTTTATCCTTCATGAGTCTTTAACAAAAGAAAAAGAGAAAAGAAAAAAACAAGTTTACCAACAAACTCTGTTCTTTGCAAAGAGGACATAATAAAGGATGGAAGTCTCTGCTGATCTTTGTCCCTTGTTGATGAAAGCGAATCTAGTTGTATGGAGTATCGCAGGGTCAGTGTGGAAGTGTTCTGTATCTGATGACATTAATTCACACAACAGCATTTTCATTAAGAAAACTGATTCTCAAGCCTGTAGGGTCCATAGTTTGTGAACTGGCTGAATTTATTTTGCTGCATTACTGCACTACTGCGTAGCCAGATGCCACTGAAAGCATGCGTTATTGCTACCCAGAACCTGTCATGTCAACCCCGCCTCCCAACAACAGGGACCAGGCTCCTTTTAAGAGTCTTGCAGCAAGTCATATGTTTTGGTTATTGACATACTTTCAAGAGGAACTCCTCTTCCTCCTTACAAAAATTGCCCATGTGCTTTCTGGTTCAGCATAGAGGGATTTACCTTGAACGTGGAAGTCACCTTCTCTCTGGCTATGACGTATCCCATATCGAGTACTTCTTCCACAGAGCAAACAATTGACGGCATCACCCCATGCCCAGTGATGCTTAGGGTTAGATTGGTTTTTGCCATCCGGATGTCCAGCATTTCAAAAAACTGCCAAGAGGATGTCTGTGTTAGCCCATTTGCTGAAGGAAAACGTCCCCTGCCCCTCCAGCTGACCCCCTCCCACAAATGGGCCATTACTACAGATCTTCTGGGTTTAGTGCATAGACAACGGTCCAAATGTTGGGAGGGGCTATGGACAGGCAACAAAGTTTTTCTTATTATTATACAGCCTCATCCCGGTCAGTAATATGTATCTATTACACAGCCCATTAATCTCTCCGTCTCTCCTCTTTTTCCCCATTACTGTTGTATCTCTTACTCACCCATTTATTCTCATTTGGACAAAAAGAGATGATGAGGGGTTTGTTTTCACCTGGCTCAAGCATTCCAACTGGTCTGACCAACAGGAAGGGACCATTGGGATTCAGAACTGAGAATCCTAGCTAAAATAGGGCAACTCAAGGAAAACAGTTTATAAGCAAAGACTGGGGAAAAAGATAATAAGAACAGATTCTAAGTATCATTCAGACCAAAGATGTATAAACTAACCATCTATAAAGCTTTTTCAGAGATCAGTAACTAACTCAAAGACAAACTAATCCAATTACTTTTTTTTTTTCCCCCCACAGAACTCAAATAGCTGCAAGACCCTTTTCCAGTTAGTAAGATCTCCATGTAACCTCAATTTCAGATTTTGCCAGGAATGGGTCATTAACACCCTAAGATCCAGGACATGCCTTCTCCTATATTATCCCATAACAGCTTAACCCAGAGTAGTAGCCTCTTCTTATGAGGTATTCAGAAATTCAGAGAAGCATTATGCAAAAACGGAGTAGCTGGTTCTGTTTCACACGTACGTCATACTGTAGTGAAACTAGCTTAGTCATCAGTACCTTATACTCCTTAGAAAGTGGTTAAGTGCTTCTCAAGTTTGGCTCTATGCAGAATTATTTCCAGTTAAAAGGGGGGAATGGAATTAGCTTTCCAGCGGGTCACCTAGGCTCGTCCAAGATATTCTTCACGTCACCTCCTGCCTCAAAGACGTGTATTAAAGTCTGAAATTGGCTACCTCCTCCTTGCTTTAGTGTCAAACAGTTCCTACAGATAAAGACTCAAATTTAATCTGCCATTCAGCTTCTGTTTACTTACATGTTCCAAACAAGGATACTTCCAGCTTCTCTGGGGAGATATTTTGTATTGTAATTCGCTTAATCATTCTGTGGCCTGACAGGAATGAAAACATTTCAAAAAGTGATGATGCTCACTCATGCACAACCATTCCTCCTTTTCACTCCTGCTTCTACCTGGGCCAAACATCCCTTCATTTCTATGGCTGATACATTAGTCAAAGCTCACCAAAATACTTTCAAATTTGTACAGTCACTTGTAGAGCTCCCAGTTCCACGTTTCGGGATCAAAGCTCTCTTGTACGTGCCTCAGCTGGCCAGACAGGCTCCTAATTTTGCACCTAAGTACCTATTACAGGGCCAATTTCTACATTGATGTTTGAAAACCAACCGAACGTAAAAGAAAATGCAAAACTATATCCAGAAGAAATTAACCTCAGACAAAAAGCTCAAAAATTGAATTCAAATTTCATACCTACTGCAACGTCACCAAAATTGACTGTGTTTGTTCCATTATCTGAAGTGACCACAACAGATGGTGCTACAGCTGGGCAGTGCACCTCCAAATACAAAGTGTTGTAAGGGCTAGAGAGATAGGAAAAGGATATTTGCTCTTGGATCATACAGAAATAAAAACTGTTGTCAAAGACTGTTCTTATTCTGATTATATCACAGGATATCATTAAATTGGTATTACAAAACAATACATAATTTTTGGTGGCTGACTTTTTTGTGTATGCCTAAGCAGAAAGATGAACTACATCTAGCTTAAATTTTTCATACAGTTATTCTTTAAGCTGCTTTGATATTCATGTGTTTGATTCTTATCCAACTAGTGGGTTGTAAGCATGAGTTTCTACCACTGACCTATGAAGTAATTAAGATCAGAAAACAAATTTACTCCCCAAATGAATAAATTAACATGCCTACCATTTTCCCCTCAAATTTCTGAACTATCATGAACTACAAATATCTAATTGCAAATACCTGCAGCTCAGGTTTTCAGAGCCTTTCTTTTCATCGATACATCCACTTGCAACAAAGCACGGTATGATGTATTTTTCAAACCTCCCACTGAAATTCCTCATCAAGAAAGCCTGGGCTGCCATATAAGCATCAGAACTAGAAAATCCAGCAATAAGAATCATCTCAGAAAGTGAGAGAGCAAGAAAGAAAAAAAATCAAATAAATATCTACTGAGCTATTTGTGTTTACTGTTTCTTAGTCATACATTCAAAATTGAACATAACAGTGAAACTAAGCGACTGTCTTGATGCACAGTAATGGACCCACCCTATGAAGTGGTTTGCTTCTTTTGCCAGAAGAGAATAAAAATTATAAACCCAGATAATAGATGTTACACTAAAGATTGCAAAATCCTCAATACTATTTCCTTTGATTAAATATTCCAGCATCTTCCAGTATTTCCACATCATTTCAATGATATGTAAACACACGATCACATTTCTGTAATGCAATATGCCAAGCAGTACTTCATAATAGGAGTTTTAAAATACAGATTTTATTTTTATGACCTGTAGTGAAAGTATTTAAAAATTACAATTAATGGATTGCAGTGAAGATGGGATATTAGTCAAAAATGTCTAACATGCAGTACAGCCAAACACCTGGTGTTTAGGCATGTATTTACTTCCAATTACTTCGGAATTCCTCAGATTAGGCAGAAGTATGGTTCTAAAAAGTTGGATTATATGCTAAACAAGTGACCCCAAGTATCAGATTTTGCATGCAAGTATCTAAATTTCCAGATAGCACATGCTACTAATGTTAATTCTCACTGAGGTATACGTATTGTAAAATGACTGTTTCAAATGTACATTTTACAGCATCATTACATTTCCAGGACTGAGGATGACTGTGACTGATATGATGGACTGTGTAAGCTCTCAAAAAAAAATTAACCCATCCCCATGGATATGGTTTCCATCTGGGTTGAATCTATTCAGCTCTGTTAGACCTATTCAGAAAAGGTATATTAGTAGTAGTTTCTTTTGGTAACTAAATTCAGCTTTCTAGTTGCCCTTTAAAATAATACCCTTGTTGGTTCAGCCAAATTTACCCATAGAGCCACATCTCATGCTTTCTGATAGATTCTTTGAAGTCTTCAATCCCTCTGATGCATAAAGGGATTCTTTGCCTTACATGAGAGGGTACAGCTGCATGGCTTAAAAGCAGTACTAATTTTGGAAACAGCCTTTGCAACATAGCTAGAGCTATTTCTTCTGTACAGTTGGCTTTCTTTTCTACCTATAGGTTTTAGTAGATTTATTAACTACTTATAAACAGAACGTTGTCTATGCAGCACAAGATGCTTTTGCCGACTTACTCAGGCTTTAACTCTTCGGACTTTGGTTGTTCAGAACTATATAGAGAGGTCAGGTATTTACTGCCTCCATCCTTTACAAGCTCTCTGGAAGACTGCTGTCTGGTAATGGAAATGCTTGATTTCTTCCCCTCTCTCTTTTCATCTTTCTTCCTTTTCTGCGAATACACACACAGAGACACGATACGCTGAGGGTGATCACTGGTAATCCAATCAAGACATCAATTTACAGATACACAGTCCCTGGCCCGAGGATACAGAACCTAAGAGGTGACAGGGCGCATGAAACAAGGTAACAGCGGTAGGATTATGGTAACAAGCCACGGACACAGTAGTTATTACATGAATTTCTAATAATGTAAAATTAAGTTGAAAGGGACATATTTTACCTCATCTTAAAAAAAAAGAGTTCCACTATTGGAGAGAAAAGACTGTCTGTCATGGGAATTTTACCTATTTATCTCATAATTAAAGACAACCAGAGGTGCTCACATAAATTAACTGACCCACAGCATTGCATATACAAGTCCATGTATGCTGTAAATCTGCAAGAAGCGTGGAAACTTTTTTTTTTTAAGAGTACGTGTAGTTAGCATTTGCAAGAAAATCCTCTAGGCATGCTTTTGAAATTGTTAGCATGAAATTAAATTATTGTTCAGTGAACAGACTACACATTAAGTGCAACAGTAGAGTCATACTCTTGTCCTTTGTAGGCAGGTCTTACATGGATCATGAGTTTGGGCTTCATTAATATGCAAAAAATTTTATGATAAAAATACCACCCAGAGAAACAAATATCTGGAATTAACAGACCAACAGCACGTGCTAGTTCTTAGCATTCCTTACTTGTATTTCTGCCCCTGTCGCAGCTGCTCTGCAAAGCCTCCGAATTGCCTCTTCTCTGATTAGCTGATCTGACAGTGCTGGTCTGAAGGACACTTGAATCAAGCTTTTCTGGGAGCGTGAGAGCACACACAAGAATGATAGGCAAAATTCAGCCCTGATACATGTGCTATACCTACAAAGCTCAATAGGAGCATATACATGACAGCAAAAAAGTAACAAATAAAATACAATTTTTTTCCAAGTGAATAAGATGATCCTAAGGATAAGGTCACTTGCAGCTTTTTTGGAAGTCCACTATGTTACAGCGGGCTGGTTTTACATGACCAACATTTTGGATATTTTAACATTCTTCAGATAAATCATAATGACAACACTGGGGAAAGAACATTCAGGGTGAAAACTCCCATAAAGCATTAGCCAGATTTGATGGTTAACCCCTCATGTCTGATTTAAAACATGATTTCAAACAACACAAAATATTCCAGCTATTCTAATAATAATTTACGTGTTGAGCTTCATTTACAAGTGACAGCAGTTGTAGGGGTGTAGATGATCAAAAGACTCGGCAGAACACTTGACGTTTACAGTGAATTTACCTTCCCAGGCAGCACGGTTCCAACAGAAGGTGTGATTGTCACTGGACAGTCTTCTGGCACACAGAATTCAAATGAAGCGGGTCCAGCGGGGGCAACTTCCCCCATGTCAATTCTTGGGACAGCATGAGTAAAGTGGTTGGCACTCACATGGGAATTCATCACATACAGTGTTGCTGTAGACACACCGTTTAAAGCTGTTGCAGCAAACTGAACTAAGGAATGAGACAATTCAAGAGGTGGGTGGACTCCAACTGCTTTGCATGACAGCTTGAATTGTCTAAAAATAAACACACGATAAATGTCTCAGCATAAAATAGTCTCTTAATCAGCCCGGAAAATAGGGAACTAATCCTGTAGTCCCTATTTAAGCAGAATTTCAAGCTTGCAATGGGAATTTTGCCTAAAGATGAACAATAATACTATCTATTTTTAATGCACAATTGGCTAGAGTCCCTACTTGAATTCTTCCTCTGTGAACTTCTGGAAACATATCCAGTCAAATCAAAGTTTATGGCATCATTATTTCAGTAGCATTAGCTTAATGCATGAAGCATTTGTACAAAAAAAAAATCCTTCAGTAATTCTGCTGAAAAAGCAAGCAGAACATTGCAGGTTAAGATGACCTGGGGCAAACCTGCAGCTTGGACATGTGGCAAGGATAAATTTCAGGTGGGATCGGCAAAGGCATCTCCGTAAAGACAGACATGTAGATGAAGGATGAAACCAACAGGCATTGACCATCTCTTGTCAAATGGAGAATTCCCACCCGCCTCACATTTTTATCCTAGCTTTACTTCTTTGAAGTAGGCAGAGATTTAATTTCTGAACTAGCTTGGCAGTGGAAATCCAGTGTGATTTAGACTTCTAGATTACCTCCTACTCAATCAGTTTCTTAACGTACCTATTAATCTCTGACTTGCAGGTTAATTCGAAGCTGTACTCTTTTGCCTTGTTAGCTTTAAAGATTATGTCCAATGTCAGGCTTTCAAGGGGAAGAAGAATTCCAAGTCCATCATTGGGTTGAATTTCAACGAACTTCAAAATGGCAGGATAAGAAATTATTGTTATTAAAATAAGAAATTATTAGTTAAATTACCAAATTATTAAATAAATTAAAATAAGACATTACTGGCAAGATAAGAAAATTTTGTTATTAAATGTACAAATGTCAGGAAAACAGAAACCTTCTAGTGAGAAGCTTTCGTTTGAGTTAGTGACTTGTGTTGGACTGATGTGCAAATTTCTAATCTCAAAGTAACTTGAAAGGCGTTAAATCCATTAACGCAGATTTCAGAACAATCTCTTCCCCAGCTTCTTACCATTTATGGTCATCACCTTTCTCTAATGATGTTTATTTACTCTTCACAGACAACTGAATGATAAGAATCTCAACAGTTCCCCCGTATCTTTGGAGAAAAGCTGATTCCTGTATGATGTGCAGATACCATAGTGACAAATACCAGTTTAATATCTACAAATGTATATTGGTTTGTGTCTATGAGTTGACGATGATTCAAGAATCGCTCCCCATCACATTTTAAGCTAATCATGAAACACACACTGTGAAGTAAAGCTTTAATGAAGCTGAGGATTCCAGTTTCTTTTAGCTAACTCCTTGATTTTAATCCCTAAAACAGCAGAGAAAGGGAGAATGCCTAATTAAATGTCAGGTTCCTCTAGCTCCGACTCCAATATGCCAAACCATTTCACACTGTGATCATCATGCTATTATGAAGCTTGAACATCTAACTTTTTGCCAAAAAAAAAAAAATTCAGTAGACCTAGCCCACACGAAACTGGCAGCTCCTGTGATTAATTTAGCTTCCACATCAACTTGCAGTCAGTCAGAAAATACCTAGGCATGGTTCAGGGGACGATTCCCAATAAGCAGTTTGGACACGGCCATCCTGCTTTAAAGACAAAGCGTTTAGGCGTTTGGATGCAAACTGTGGTATTCCTTGGTCTCAAGGCCAAAGCAATGTCCCTAAGCCTGTTTTATTTAGTAGTGTAAGTGACCTGTGAATCTGAAAGAAAAGTGCACCAGGTATTCTGTTAGCAGATTTCTTGGTGTAAAAAATAGGTATTCTAATAGGATAAAGTTATGTTAATGTTACGTGGGCAAGAATAGCAAAATCTCCTCAAAGATGTTTATACTGCTTGGAAAATGCTTAGGGTTATAATGGGATGAAATTTACACAAGCCAGGACCAGAACTAATCCATGTGTTTCCACAGTGCTGCAGGCACAAGTATTTCCATGGGTTTGCAAGAACCAGTCATGATTTATTTACACTCACATTGAAACATGCTTTCATAATAATTAAATATGTTTTGATACAAGAGGTGTGTGTGGGATAACTGCATACCTCTGGAAGTCCCACAAATCCAAACTCTTGTGGCAAGATGGATTTGTTTGTTAGCGTGACGTTTGCCTGCACAGCTTCAGAGATTGTGCAGTATCCAAAATTGATTCGTGCTGGACTGATTTCCAAATCAGAAGTCGTAACAATTGCATGGACAGTAAGATTAACTTTTTTAGCCTGAAACAAATGCAAGAGCACAGGATAAAACCCTTCATTTGTGGCATTGTAAGGACAGGATTTAAGTGAAATGTCATCCAAAAAGAGAACTGCAAAAAAGTTATTTTACTCTATTCCTTGACAATAACATACGTAAATGTAACATATCTATCTTGAACTTCAGCCTCATTGTTCTCCAAAAATAACCAATAGGAAAAGTCTCTGATAAGCAAAAATAAAAAAAAAAAAATCTGTATCTCAAATTCCATATGCTTGAATGGAATCACACCTGCAGCTCCAGGAAATGTAAACTCTTAAGAATATGCTACATCCGCAGTACAGATCAGCATAAAAAGATTGTGCTATGATATCTGAGAACTCTCTGATACAAAATAAACTACTAGGGAATAGATGAGCACTGTCTGGAAAGGATTTAACTTCCTGTAGTGTAAACATGCTGACAAGAAGAAACTATCAAATCTGTATTATCACTTTAAGCACCTTTTACTATTATCATAGGACTTCAACTAGTAAAGAACTAATCTAAGATTAGGTGTCATTAAGCGAACATTCACAAATCGTTTACATCTATTGTCAGTCTGATAACCAGCATAATAAAAATCACTAACCTTATCCACAATCAGTATCGTCACTGGAACTTCCAGAACCCTTGTCTCTTCATTAAAATAGCTCCCTGCATCTTCAGGAAGAGAGTGCCTAAAAATCAAAAAGTACATTCAGTTTCATAAAAATATTTTGACTATTTTCTAGCTAAGGGGAACAATAAACTTTTGATGGGTGTGTTTCTGAACAAAAGGAAAATCTGTTACTTAAGGTCTAAAGGTTTTATAATTCACAGCTTTTAATGTTAACACAGTATTTGTGTTCAGATAGGAGTACACACATATGTAGTTGATTAAGCATCAACTCCAATGCTTCACTGAAGCAAAGTCGAACTAAAATCTTGTGTGTAAGATGTATGCAAGTATTAGGGAAGATTGTGGAGGAATGGTGAAAGAAAATGCCAATCAAAAATTAGTGACCTATGAAGTTCCACCTTCTGACCAAGAAAAAGAAGATGCAGTCAGATCAGAAAGATTATGGACCTGTCACAGATTTCCTGTAGAACGACATACATCCAGGCGACCTGCTCGGAGCAGGTACGCACGCGTTGCAAGGGTACCTAGCAAGGAAGTTAGAATAATTGACCTTGTACGTTAATGTTGGATTTTGTATTTTTTAAAGACGGGATTTTGGACACACAGGAGTTTAAGGGAGTTATTCACAGAGGTCTGCATCCATTTATCCTTTTTTAAAATGCCATCCAGCCATTTAAAATTCTGAAAAACTTAAAGCTTACTTTATAATCAGAACATAAGCCTGCAACCGCAGCACACAACCAACCAACCTAGGCAGTCGTTTCCTTTTGACACTGATGCTACTTCATTACCAGCCAGTTTGAGGCAGAACCAATTGTATCACAAAGCACAGAGACATAACTGAAACAAACTGGAGACCAGTAGTGGCTGATTATATCCCAGATTAGTAATTTATAAGAAATATGCGGGGTTTCTGTAGCTGAAGCCTCTTGCTCTCATGAGCTCCGTTTCAGAGCTCCAAGCCAAGACAATACAAAAGCTCTAGCGTTTTTAGCTCTGCTGGTCTATTTATAGTGCCTGACAGCAGCAGAGTGAATTGCTTCCTGTTCTTAGGTCTCCACAGTGGCAACGTTCCTACTACTACTACTGGAATTACATGCAATTTTTTAACGTATTGTTAAAGAACAGTTAATGAATAAATAGCCCCCACTCAGTCACCATGGCGATCTGAAATCTTGCTGGCTGTTATCTTGCAAGTCTGAAGTGTGACTTCAGAAGGTGATCTTCAAAGGTATTGCTAACTTGTTTAAAGGTAGGGACTGGAGTTAAATACAAGGTAGGAATAAAGTATCAGCTTTCACTTCGTCACAGGGCATTAGAATAGCAGAAGAAATTAATGTATTGCAAAATAATCCAGAGGGGGGAAAAAAAATAGTTGTAACTGTACATACACAGTGATGGACTCTAAATTAGCTGTCATGCCTTAGGGAAAAGATACTGAAATCCTTCCAATAGTTCTCTGAAAATGGCCTCTTCGTGCTTAAAAGCAATTAAGAGAAGTATAAAAGACAAATCAGATTTAGACTGCTAGCATCTGCACTACTAGTTCCAAATGCAGAAAAGCTAAAAGTTGTCATATTTGGGAATTCTGAACGTCAGCAGATTAGAAAACTCGCCTTCAAATAAACAGAAAATGTCTGCTTCAAACACCCAGAAAGTGATGAGTATTGTAATGTCCGACCAAGCATTTCGGTGTGCACAGACTACTCGGGAGAGCTTCCCAAGCCTTCAGCCATCTATCTGTTCACTTAGTATTGCTGAATGAGTGTTTCTTTTTACTTTTGTGTTACTTTTAATATAGCTGTTCGTTCTTCTGAGAAAAGCAAGCTTATGACACTAAGTCAATGAGGAGGCACCTACCGAAATGTGTCACTAGCTCCGTACTTCACATCAGCTTGTAGCAAGCTCATCTTTCTCTGTCATACACACACTCCCCTGTGTGTTAGGTCTTTTAAACTGATCTGTGTACTGAAACCGCCAGATACTGATTTTGTGTGTCAGAAATGCCTTAATCTCATCAAATCTCCTTTCTGAAGCTTCCCCATTTTTCAAAGGAAGATTAACATCCTAAATCCAAGCTATGCCTCTATCCACTCAGTAAGCGTAACAGCGCTTTACAGCATCTGAAGTTTTGGAACTGAAAAATGTCATAATGGTTGCTGTTGCTGTAATCTGATAGGATTTGAGATGTTGGAAGAGCTGTAAATACTTTTAGTCCTTAGAATATTAACCTGTGAAAATTTCAAAATCAGCGATTGGACTCTCAATTTAGAATCTAGAGATGCTGAGCACATCAGTGAAAATCCCGATATACTTACATCCATGGGACGAGATAACCTATATGACAAAAGCAGCAGGTTTGCAGCAGCAATCAATGCAGAAGCCGCTGAAGTATTTGCCTGTACACCAGAATTAAGATCTATATAAATTAATTTATATTCAAAAAGAAACGTCCTGCTAAATTTCTTAGGATGGCAATGATGAGGTAAATAAAGTTAACAGTGGTCAACAAAAGCTCTTGAATTTAAATTTTTTAAAACTGGAATTCTTTGTTTCCTGTAACTGAGTTATTAGCACTTGGCATTATTAGCACCATGTTCTAACCAAGTGAGCTAAGTTATGCTTGTATATGTAGATGTATCATGAAATGGGGAAGAGAAACTTGCTGGGGTAAGGCTTTTAGCATCTTAGAAGATGTTAGATAAAATGCCACATGAAATGCACGATCCATACGTTCGTATTTTGGAGAAAAACGTACATGGGCAGGAGAGAGATGAACAGGAAGCCCAACCATTCTTACCTTAATTAGCAAGCACAGGAATTCTTGTCCAGAAATTATTTAATCACTGATGCATGAAGTAGCCACCTGCCTAGATCAGCACTCTCTAGTATAAGAATAGCTTCCCCACAGAAATGGGCACAGCCTACCAGGAATGCAACTGCTAAGATTTTCACAGTACTGCTGTCACCACAGGAAAAGCATTTCCTCGCAGGTACGTGATCCAAGTTAATTTCCTCCTTGAGCATCTGGCAGCTTTCAAGGGGGAGAGAGGGGGGAGACTAGGCCTGCACTGACACCAGCAGCACGAAGTCCAGCCTGCTGCAGCGCGAAGGAAGAAAAAACTTCGACCTGCTCAGGTTTTCCACTGACAGCCTCCTACAGATTTTGTCTTAAATACCAAAAAGATTAATGCTGTTAGGTTACCTGGGCAGAAACTTCAGTTGCACACTGAAGGATGACTGAGCTTGAACGTAACCTGTTTTCGGAAGCAGCTCCATGTGCTTACTCAATTCTTTGCATACTTCAAACTTCAAACGCAGCGTGACTTTTGCTCTGCAAACAGATCAGACGTGCTTAGGTGGCTTTGAGGCTGCGCATACTGCCACCTCAGCAACATTCGCTCTTGGAGTTTAATCCCCCCGGCCCTCCACCCTTGCATCTCTACTCTACATTACAATTATAACTCTTCCAAGCTTCCTTGGAAAATGATAGGCATGTAAAACTGCTACAGCAAAATCACACGGTTGTATCCTTTTTTTAAGATAAGTATAGAAAACAAGATTTTGGAAGGACTGTAAGTAAACCCAGCTGTATTTCAAGCAATGTACACAGCTGATTGGAACATAATTATCAAAGTGCAGCACAGTGGTAAGTCAGGTCAGGGGAAAGTCAAAGCCAAATTATTGTGAAATATCAGCTAATTATTTGCTCCTAACATACATTCCCTCTATCTGAATCAACAGGAATCACTCACTCAGTGTTTGAGACACCTAACTGGTCCTAGCTGCAGCACAGAGCCCACTCAAGGTGGAAAAGGAGCAGCCGTCTTCTCATGCTGGCTCTAGGTTATGCAACAATTGGTGGTGGGTGGGATGCAACAAATAAAAACCTGTTATTCTGGCTGAGAAACAGAAAACTGAAGACCAGCGACCCCTAAGTGGGGCCAAGGATACCTAGATGCTGCTTAAGTGACTAACAAGCACTTAATGTCCCAGCCTGTAGTCCGACAAATCAAAAGAATGAACCTGAAAGAGCATAACTCACCTAAAACATCAACATGTACCCAGTTTGTGAATTCCGTTCATCTTCATTATCCTCATAATTATCTCAAAACCTTCCATACTAAAAACTAAGCCTGTACAGGCAAGAAAAAAAAACTCAAACACGGAGAGAGAGGCTGTCTTATGCCAGAAACACACTGAGCGTGCTGCTGGTTTGGGGTTTTTTCCCCCAAAACCATGGTGATTCCTTTTAAATAATGTGAATTCACAGATTTCTTGTAACTTCTCCTCTAATGGCAGAGATTCTACAGGGCTAGAAGTCATAGTGTGGCTAAGCTGGTACTGCCAGTTCCTCTGCTAAAACTTGTGATCAGTTTGCCCTATGAATGGCGTATTGGAAGGTAGGAAACATCTCCCTGTTTACTGAATTCTGGCCATACTATAATACAGCGATAGCCACAAACCATACCCTGCTTTGGAATTTTATGCCTATGTGCAAAATTGCCAGGCAATTTACAAATATTTCAGCTTGTCATTTTCCTTTTCTTGGACTGGTTTACAAGCTGTCAGTCCAGATGGTCTGCTCTAAATCAACAGCTATAGCATGTGGTACTGGGAGCCTGGAATGATTTCTGACTGTTGACAATCTAAGAGAACTATATACTACTTCATTAAATCAGTGCAGATTATACCCTGCCAAAGAAATTACTTTTCGAAGTGATTTACATTAGACAGGATTCTGATAAGACACTTTCACCTTTTATGCTGTTTATTTATGCTTCCCGACTACCATATTCTGCATGACCAGAAAAAAAAAAAACCCACAAAACCTAAACCAAAACCAAAAACCAGTATTAACTAATGTTTTGCAATTCTACAGAGCTTGCCGAGGCACTTAAGTGCCAGAGCTCTCTAACTCGAAAACTTGATCTTCTACGTATGCTATAGATTACGGAGTCATAGATTGCAGCAGCAATAAGATAACGAAGTTCTTTCTGCTCTGCTTCTTCTGCTTCAGGTGTTTGTGTGTACTGGCGGTGAACAAAAGGCTATCCCGATACATCATCTCCCTCAGGTCTGGGTCAGATCTTGCCCCAAAAGTCTAAGAATTCTCTTGCTACAAGTTCTAGTGGTTTTTTGTTTGGTTTTTTTTTTTTTCCTCTTTTCTATCACTAGTTTGGCATTGGAGCAGAAATTTGTAAAAATAATCCTGCTATTCAGGAATAGGCAAGTATCCTATTAACGTTTAATTAAGGAATCTGTGTTCTAGAGTTCTGCTAATAAGAGCTCACATCTGCTGTATCTGCACTTCAGTCCTCACTGGCTAAGGCATTTCAGCAGTTGTCAGACAAGCAGCCTTCTCAGCCGGGCTGTGGTAACCTCACCCTTGGTCTCCTTCAGCGAACGGGTGCTACGAGCGTTAGTTCACAGACAGCACTGCAGTAACTCTTGAGCTGATGCTCAGTTCACACACCAAGCCATTGTAACAAACCATTATCTTCGTATGGTGACAGCAGTTCAGAGGCTTCTTTGCTAGCCTGATAGTTGTCCTTGGCTCTGGATCCTTTGTCTGTGCATAGTTCCAGACCACAGACCTTCGCAAGACTACCTTTCCCCGGCTTTTCACTATTGCAATTAAAATACAGCTACTTCCTAGTCTAACCTAAGAAACGACTTATTGTAATTTATAGCTATTTTCAGGAGTTTAAATTAATTCTGTCTGAGAAGTGGTTTGACATGCACCACGTAACAATGAGGAATCCTCTGTCTGATACACGCTACAGCAAAATTTCAATAGCTACTAGAGGAAGAAACTTCTCAGGCACCACATCTAACTGAATGATGAAATCTATCTACTGTTGCAGGATAAAAAGTTGAGACATCATATTCCTGCACATGAAATACTTCGTTATACAGTCATTTTGGCTGAAATTCAAAGACAATTTTTCCTAACTATGAAGAATTGGGTGAGAAATCAAAGACTCGATTTGCCAAGGTACCAAGGACAGTATACTATATATTAAGTGCTCTTAATTTAGTGAAACTTGGCAAAGGATTGGCAGGATTTTTCCCTCAGTTAAGTTGTTTTGCCCTAAGCAATTTGACAGCTTCTATCTTTGGGATCCCCTTGAAATCTTAAGTTTTCATTAGGAGAGTTATTCTGCTTCTATACTTTTCAGTTTTATCCCTGGGTTATCTAGACCAAGTAAAATCACTTACATAACTTGTGCTTGTCATATCTGTAAGCTGAATTTCTGAGATAACAGCTTTACTCATTTCTTTCCAACTGTGAAGAATCTCTGCAGTCTATAATTCTGGTAAGAGGTTTAGAATGGATGCCTTCCACAGAACCAATCTCCCCCACCCTCCCACAAACCCACCCCAATCCTATTTAAATAGAATCTAAGAAATGCAGATTGTTAAAATAAGCATTCAATAGTGACTGCATTGAGTAGAGGGAAGACACCCAGCACCTGAAGACAATTAAGAGAGTAAAAGTTCATGTAACCACTCTCTGATAGCACCAAATCTCTGGGAGCCGATGAGCTGAAATACTATCTTTACATGGCAGTGCAAACAGAACCAGTCTTCAGATATTACTGACTTGGACTACAGAAACACCCAGACATTTTTTCCCCTGTAAATTGGTATTTGGTCACTATCTGTACTTACAAGGTATCTGTCACTCCAGTGCAGTGCTTAATGCCTATATGGGTTAGAAAAAGTTGTTCCCTTCCCATTTCACAGTAAATGCAAAAGGACCGACACGATTTATCCAGCATCATATCCCAAGTCTGGAAAGACCAGTGATTGACCTTCTCAGTAAAGAACAGTTGGCATGAGGCTGGCTTCCAGATCGTAAGTCTCCCATGGACTTTAATTAAAGGTAAAATAACTGAGAAATAACAAAATATTCTTTCATAAAATCGCCTGACTGAATCAATTATACCCAATGTGCACTTCATTTTAGACACATTTATCTCCGTAATGTTTAGGGTGCAAATTCCACATGATGAAATTCTGTGGAGTTGCTATTCCCTAGGGACTTCACAGTTATACCACCGAACAGGTACAGCGTAGGGAATCTTGTAGGGGTGGGAAGGCATGTATCAACCCGGCTACTTCATAGCTACGGCTGGCCTTGGGAATCTGGGATAGGAGGGTACCCAAGTCCCATTTCCGCAGAAGTGTGGAACTCGGAGGGCTTGTAATCAGGATGTCCTCCTGAAATGCCAAGGAAAAAGCCAAACTGTTCTTCAGCTTCCTATGACAAGACGGGTCTGGCACAACGGAACTTCAGGACATCACCTATGACTTGGGATCTCCTTATTTAGCTCTAGAAGGCAGCTGATAATGGAAGAGTAGCTCACCTGCTTTGAATGACAATGCAATCCTGATAAAGTCGGTCATACATACAGATCTTTAAATCAATGTTGGGGTTGGGCACCCAAACTGGCACATCAATAGAAACTCCAATGGCACTGAAGCACAGCTGTTAATACATAAATCAAGAGTGTAATTATTTTTGTTTGTCTCCAATTCTTACTGATCTAGACAGAGCAAGAATTTCTGCTATAAACTACAGCTGAGGAAAGTATTTTATTACTCATATTGCAACAGGTTCTTTAATTAGGCAAAGCTATGAAAATAATTTGTAAAATAAAGCCTAGATGCTATGGTGTTCCAGCAGAAAAAAAGAATTATACTTTAGTTTGGATTCTTTGACAGAGAACAGAAGGAAGAGCATGCTGCCCATGATATTGAAAAGAAATATTTAAAGTGCACCTAGCTTAAGTGAATGTGCGGAAATTCAAGAGACTGCAGCTTGTTTAGCCAGCAAAGAAATGCAGCACAGCGCCATACTTCCTATAATGACCTTAGGCCTGACCTCAGTGACCACATAGCTCAGATTTAGATAAAATGATCCTTGAAGAGAGGGTCCTACCATAGGAGCCTGCAGTATGCACCTGCAGCTCCTCTTGTAGACTACTCCATCTGTAGACTGTGGGGAGAGCCAAGACTGCCCTACTGAGCTTCTTGGAAATTTTTCTTTATTTTTTTGGCAAGCTTCTGTTCCCAGGCAGAATTTGGCTTTCCATAAAGTGTGGAATCAAAATATGCTGAAGTGGTAACTAAAGTTGTCATCTCTTCCAGCTTTCACACATCAGTTTCACTACTGCATGCTAAATAATTCCAATTCTGATACATCAGAAAGAAAATAAACTACGTAGGTTGGGCATAAAGAAGAATACTGTCATGTTTGTTTCCAGGACATTAGATGTTTTCCAGCACGATGTCTGATAAAATGGGAATATCAGAATTATTTGCACAGAAACTTAAGGGAATCAACACGTTTAATAATCATACTGCATCAGAAAGAAGGGCCATGATTTACAAAGTTACCTCCCATCAAACCACATAATATATAATCATGTGATACCTCACTGTTATTTCTTATCATGTTCAGAAACGTATCTTCTCTACCTCCTTCTCCTGTTTCTAATACAGGATTCTGAGCAATTTTAATTATTGGGAAAGCAGAAGTAGGAGGATTTTAAACTCTGTTTCTACAGTGTTTTGAAGCAAGTCTTGCACACAGTCACTTACTGGTTTGCAGTCTGAGTTGTCAAACACGATCACAAATTCTGCCCGCACATCCCCAGGGATAGCTGGGACAAATATAACCTGAAGTTTGACTGAGCTGAAGGGTTCAACTTCACCTTGAGTAACCTAAACAAGAAGTAGCATGTTTTTAATGAAAATCTGACTGTATTATTGTAGTTGGCTATAAATTATATTGAAATAAAGCAGCAGTATATACACATACTATACAAACACTCTATTACACCTAGTTTGTAACTAGACTGAATGCACAATGCAAGGGAAAAATCGGTATCAGTAGCTCCCTAGGAGGTTTAGTGTGGGGAAAAGACTTGACATGACATGTGGTTTCACAACCAGGCGTGGTCAGAATTTTACTGAGAGTCTCCTTTTACTGCAAGACTCTGTCTGACAGCTCGATAACGTGGTTTACCAAAGCGTTTCCATCATATATTGGTGACTATGTGACTAACACACAGAGAAGCTGGCTTGTGCTGCCATTCAAAGATCTCGACTGATTTCAGCATTAAGTCCACCTGCCTTTTGTACGCGTAGGTAGAAGCCACAAATGCTAGTACGAACTAGCATCTGCACTCTCATACCCAGATTTTAATATGGCTCAAGTTTGACATTTCCCAGACATTCTTCCTGCCCCATCTTTTGTGCTGTCACTAGACTTTGTACAACCACACAACATAGCAGAAAAATCAGTCTGACAAAAAAAAAGTTACATTATAGGAAATGTAAATCTCTACAGAATCTTTTGCCTCCAATAGGTCTTTATAAATCAAAAGAAAGGGCAAATATGTGATTTTGTTTTAAGAATTAACTGTGATAAAACAAAGTCCAGCGGGCTTGAAATTGCTCGCGTGCTTAAGCATTTCCCACCAGAGCCAAAGCAATTTATTTGATATAGGCTTAGACTAGTGAAAATCTTGTCTGTATTCTCAGGATGTTCATTACCTTTCCAAGCATAATTTCCACTGGTGTTTCTTCAGGAGAAAGTTTCACTAAGTTACATGCATTGTCTGTATCTAGATCTGATCTGGAATTTAGTACACCTTGACCAAGTTGTTCTGGAGAAAAAAAACCAAACAAAATCCCACAAAATGCTGGATGTGTGCATCTATTCACTGAACAAAAACATCAAACAGAGCAGAAGTACGTTGATTTTGGTCAATACTGCAAATCCAATAATGTAGACCAATGCTGTGGAAATACGAATGTCTAGAAGTAAATTTCTGTTTGGCCATACAACTTTGCTCTAGTCCAGAAGCCTTCCTTAGGCACCTGGGCCTTCTGCTACAGAACAACATCATGAATGTTTCAGAAGGATAAAGTATATATCAGAGATTGGTACATCAAGGAATGCAAACTCAGCTGAAAGTGTGAGCTGGGCTTTAAGAACAATTTCAGTGGGACAAAGCAATGCAGTCAGCAGGACCTGAAAAGCAAGTGAAAGTGCTGCTTCACTTTATTTTCAAAACAACTGCAATAATAAGTACCTTTTAATTAACAGTCTCCCACCAGGGCTCCAGAGTGCCTTAAACTAATGCAGCACGAGAAAGACGAAGCCAACTTGGGACTGTACGGCAGTAATCAACTGGCAGCCACATGCTTCACATTAACCAGGAAAAAGATCAGGGTGTCATGAGATATGTTAATGTGCCAAAGCAGTGGATTTTTTTTTTTTTTTTTTTTTTAAGGTCTGAGAACATCTTTAAAGGTACGTGTTCTGTGGAGACAGCTATCGCGATTTATGGAATCACTCCATTTCACAATACAGATCCTACATTTAAAAAGAAAAAACACCCACAACCTTTTCATGGAACTTTCAGTTTCCTGCAATTAGAATGATCAACATGCAGAACAGATACAGAAGTTAAGAAAGTCCTCCTTCTACAAGACTGGATTTTATAAAAAAATATAAACCTGTGATGTGGATTTCTATTCTGAGAAGTGGGTATTCAGTTGCTGAGACAATGTGGTGGGTTGACCCCGGCTGGATGCCAGGTGCCCACCAAAGCCACTCTATCGCTCCCCTCCTCAGCGGGACAGGGGAGAGAACACGTAACAAAAAAGCTCGTGGGTCGAGGTAAGGACAGGGAGATCACTCAGCAATTACCGTCATGGGCAAAACAGACTTGACTTGGGGAAATTAGCTTAATTTATTGTAAATCAAATCAGAGTAAGGTAATGAGAAAATAAAAACTAAATCCTAAAACACCTTCCCCCCATGCCTGCCTTCTTCCCAGGCTTAACTTCACTCCCGATTTCTCCACCTCCTCACCCCCAAGCAGCGCAGGGGGACAGGGAACAGGGATTGCAGTCAGTTCATCACACGTCCTCTCTGCCGCTCCTTCCTCCTCAGGGGAGGACTCCTCACCCTCCTCCCCTGCTCCAGCATGGGTCCCTCCCACGGGGTGCAGCCTTCAGGAGGAAGGTGCTCCAGCACCTCCTCCCTCCTGCACTGACCTTGGGGTCTGCAGGGCCGTTCCTCTCACATGTTCTCACTCCTCTCTTCAGCTGCAATTCCTGGTGTTGCACAGGGGTTTTCCCCCCTTCTTAACTATATTATTGCAGAGGTGCTACCACCTTTGCTGACAGACTTGGCCTTCGCTAGTGGTGGATCCATCTCGGAGCCGGCTGGCATTGGCTCTATCGGACACGGGGGAAGCTTCTAGCAGCTTCTCACAGAAGCCACCCCTGTAGCCCCCCCGCTACCAAAACCTTGCCACACAAACCCAATACAGATGAGAATGTTAGCAATTTTGCAGTTTCTGTAACCTAGTTGGTTTCTGTATTCTGAGACTGAATTGTTGATCGCTAATGAGAAGTGAGATTCTCTGCTGCTGTTGATATAATGGTGTCAGCACATTATTTTTAGTCATTTTTTGTGAGGCAGCATACAAAGAAGTATAACATTACTACTAGAATGATGAACTACTTAATTTACTGAGTAACTTTGCAAACTGAATCCCATAGTTCATTACAGGAAACTCTACAAATGGATAATGCTTAACCTGTGAAACTGCACTGCCCGTTTTCTAAACCAGTCATCTCACCTGTGGAACTACTGCCCAGGCTTGTCTCAGTCCTCTGCTGCTCCACCTGGGCTACACAGTAGGTCACTTCTTCACTATGGTCAGGACAAACTTGTTCCCTGTTTTCAACCACAGATGTCACAGGACTATTGCTGACTTTCTTTTCAGGGACACAGTCACTGAAATGTTGAGTAACCTATTAGAAAACACAGAAGAAAAAATTTTCTACTGTGACTGTTCATCTAGCTTGCACCAGCTCCAATTTTATGAAGCAGTTGCAAATCAGACTTGCGTTTTCTTCCAACTGTTCCACGTTATAAATGGAGAAATGTTGCACTTTCTAAAAACTGCACATTCTACTAGACCTTTATCAATGAGCAGATTTAATTTTTGCTGGCTGCCCAGAACAGGTAAATAACATAATGGGAGCAAGACAATATAGTGTTATTTTACAATTAACAGGACTAACAGTTTTCTAGTGGAAACACAGGCAGTTCTATGTCAAAACTAAGTCTGCTAAAACTGGATTTCTCTTTATTACACACCTACAAAATATAGAATACAGAAGGATAACCATGGATACAGGCGGTGTTATTTCACAAATCCTTTGTTTGAGCTACACTTTTAATGTAAGGACAGTATGAGAGTTGAAAACCACAGCAAACAGCTCAGCAATTTCACTGTCCATACTATTTAATGTGGTGTTTCAAAAGAGAGGTCAACCCTTTTCTTAGAACTTAAAGCTGGGTTAGACTATGAAGTAGGGAAGTTTGAAAACCATCTGAGCCAATGGCTCTTCAACAATCAAAGAAATTAAAGACTGCACTGATGGAACAAAGATGAAGTACCTGCATTGTGTTTACAAGAGCATGTAGGCACTTCAAAACAAAGATATGCAACCTAGTAGTGATACTCTCTCTCATCAAGGCCCTATGAAATGTGTTTATGGGTACTGCCTATGCAACACTTGAGGAAGAAGGAACATTTATGATAATGATATTCGTCAACACAGGAATTACAAAGCATGAGTTCCTACCACAGTGGGTGGCTGGTTGTTGTTGGCTGGGTTTGGGCTTTTTTTTTTTTTTTTTTAAAATCTGAAGCTCTCTCCACTTTAAGAATAAAATCCACAGCTTATTTAGAAAAGGAACAAGTACATCTTCAGACTTAAGCTCTTCAGTCTTCTCAAAAATCTGTCCCACAGTGCTGACATGCAAAGATGATTGTATGCATGCTTTCTTCGTAACTGTTCTTCACTTAATTATCTGCTACATGGAGGAGCACAGCTCTTGGGATTCCTCAGTTTTCTGTCAACTTTGAAACTGGTGTGCTGTAGGAGCAATCACCATCAGGTCTAACACCTCACATTTTGTCAGCTCTGCACCAAGTGTCTGAGTTTTCGTACACTTCAACAGTCTCTGCTTCATTCCCACCCAGGACATTCCACAAGACACAACATTACAATCATTTGCATTCATTCCACTACTGATTTGAAAGACCTTCCTTCAAGTCTTTTAACAATGTTTATTATCATAGTTTTTAGGCAACAGCCTCAATGTAATTCTTAGTTGGACTAAGAAGACTTATTGACAAGCTGTTGTTACATGGGAAGAACTGACTGTCCTTCTTTGATAGGAAATTTAAATTAACAGCTCTGAATTTTTCAAGGAAGATCAAGGCTAGTGTTCCCAATTCTCAATACTTTATTGCTAGTTTTGCAACAGTTGGTATTTTCCTGAAGTCCAGGAGCTGGGATTTTAAATGACTGTGTCAGAATCTCTTCTTTTAACTAACGTATTTTTTCCTAGTTTTCATGGATGTGGAAAAAATAGGAATCATGACATAAATGACTAAAATGTAAAAACAATTATCATTGTTGGCTTCCTTGCCTCCTCCCTCCCCCCCAAATAATTGTTTTAAAATTTGTCTTGTGATATTTGGGGGTCTAACAGATTATATTAAGATATACCAACCCAAACATAAACAAACTACTAGAGGCTGGACCAGACGATCTTCCAAAGTCCCTTCCAACCTGAGCTGTTCCATGATTCTGTACGATTCTACCACACTTTGCAAAGCAGAATATTTCTATCAAATTGGGGAAATGCTTTTGAACCTACCATTCCAGGAGAAGATTTTGCTGTTGCCCTGCATGTACTGCTGTCACCTGCTGACATCTGAACTTTGAATCTTGTTCCCAAAGCTCCACTGTTTGTCAGGTTGATGGTCTGTGAAATTGTCTCTCCCACCACATGGCTGCCAAAGTCAATGAGCTCTTTGTCTAGTGCCAGCTGTGAGAAGAGAAACCATTAATTACTACTGTCCTAGATAGTCAGTAATGTCAATTGAATGAGCATCCACCTTTTCAAGAATAGGACTTTGAAGTTCTTATTATCATTTCAAAGACGGTATCAAATAACAACGCAAACTGTGAGTGTCTTTCTGCTTTTTTGTAGAAGTCAACTCATTAAAACAATCAGCCACCAAGCCAGGAAACATGAAATTGCTACTCTCCCCTTAATTGGTTTAGTGGTGGGGCTCGGTAATGTTAGGTTAATGGTTGGACTGGATGATCTTAAAGGTCTTTTCCAACCTAAACGATTCTGATTCTAATGTCCTGTTAAACTGAGCCACTTCCATTTCAGTCCACTATATGACAATGGAAAAAAACAGGTTAAATTCTGTTCATAGTAGCAGCTTGCATAAGTCTTCAGGTAGTTACCCTGGAAGTAGGCAATATTTACGTACTGATTCAACATTGTTGCTCTTGTGTTACAGTAAAATGGTTTTACTAGCATCAAGCTGAGAAGCAAGCAGCATTTAACATCATATAGTGACGACGTATCAGTTTATAACACATCCCATCTTGTTTCTTTTAGCTACCATGGTTCACAGCCAGTTTAAAAAGCAATACACTTCTTCCTATAGAATTTTTAATGACTTTGTAACTGGATATATGATAACAAAAGGCTTGTAATTCAAGTTCAAGCACCAAAAAGACAAAGACAACTTGGTTGCTTGCTAGTATCCTGCTTACAGCTGAACTCTTCCCACTTTCAGAGAATAAAGAACGGGAGTTCCTGCGTGTCATTAGCGCACAACGATGGTAAGAATTCTCTAGGTGAAGAAAACTATTCCTCTGATCAAAGATTAATGTGCTGGCTTTCTACTGCAATGTGCATTCTCATCTTCAAGGTCTTCTACCTGAAAACCATTAGAGTCCTATGCACAGAGTCAGATTTAAGTATGCAATATTGATGTGATATCATTCTAGCTTCCTACAACTGCTTAAAATTAAGCACATCCTTAAATACTTTGCTAGATTGTTAATAAATTACAGTGCACTACCTTTCCGTTACTTCCCCCCTTCTCTTATCCGTGTAACAGATTTTTCTTGATTCATTTCCCTGTGCACAGAAGTTTCAATGAGCAGTCCAGTAAAGAAACTACATGCAATCTTATTCATTCAATTTACTGAAACGTAGTATCACAAACTCCAGGAAGACATTCATATGTCTAAAGCCTTTTTTAAATTATGTTTTATTTATTATTTATTTTTATTATTACGTACGCTCCCAGTATACCCCAAATTTTGCATTTGCCAGTCTTATTCGATACTGGGTGTCCCCTTGCATAATCTTTTTCCTCTGGCATTGTCTATTCTCATCTATAATTTCTTTTGGCCTGTAAAGCCAAAGCTGCTCCTAGGTGTGAAGGAAGTAATTTAGAAATGAAGTTGTTGCTTTTATCAAATACTTTCTTCAAGTGAGCTCATAGGTAATTAAGGTATCTAAAAGAAGTTAGCGCTGCCTGTAGTTTCATCTCTTAACAGTAAGAAAATTATGTTCTTTGCTTAAAATTCGGTATAGAATTCTCAAAAGACTGAAAGAAAGGAGAGATTATATGCTTTCTGTAAATGTCAGAAAAGACAGAAAGATACTGTGATATTTTGATTTTTGTCTACATAGAAAATTAAAGTTAAGAATAAAGTACTGCAGGTCCGAGATGGAATTTCCAGAAATTACAAGGAGAAAGATAGCTCATTTCCAGTCACCATTTCTCTTCCCTCCATTCACAATGTAAGATTGTGTCATCAATTTCTAAACCGGACTACTTCAGTTAATTCCACTCTGAAGTTAAAGTTACAGTTCATGGCTAAGTAAATCCATTAGGATAAGTCTGTATAAATCTCAGTGTAATTTGGGAAGCTTAGGAAACAAATAATTTTCTGGAAAGAGACTCTCCATTTAAAAGGAAAAGAAAGAAATACAAATACCTCTTGCTAAATATTTCCAATAATGTTTATGCTACCTCACATTTTCTATTACTGTTGTTATACTGACTCTGAACATACTTTTAAAAAGTCACTTACAACACATCTCTTGGCTGTACATTTCAATGGAACAGAAAAAGAACCTGTCTGTGCCATAAACATGACTTCTCCTTCCAGAGTTTCATTTATCTAGAAAACAAACAAACAAAACCCAAGTAATTTGCAAAGATTTAGCCGATGTAGTCTGATGAGAAATATTTTCACTCATTCTTTGAGTAACATATTAAAATGTATCCCTACAGATTCTACATTTCTGCTTTAAAACAGTCTTTGGTAACTGCCTGGCTAACTTTAGCTGTGCAATATTATAAATCTTTCCATTTAGAGCAAGTTTCAAAACATACTCCAAGAATACCTAGCAACAGGCAGTTTTCTAAAACGTGCCCTTAGAATATGCCTTATTACCATTTAACAGAGCTTGAACGTGCACACAGCTGTCCACGTACAACGGTACCTTTTCTAGAAGTGTAGTTTGTTCCCTTGTTAACAGTTAAGAAATTAAATGAATGATGTTTTTAATCAGGCTAGTGGATTATACTAGGATTCTCATCATTGTGTCACTTAGCACTCAGGTGCACTTACCATTGGCTTAAATGTTACCACCAATTCACAGGACATTCCAGCAGACATTTTGCCAGGTGGGTCAAAACTATGGAGATAATTAACATAAGACTCTGAATTAAAGCTACGTATGAAACATCCAGCTCCTACTCTAGTAACAATGACAGATTCCCCCCCGCCCTTGGAGTAATTGCTCGGAAAAGTCAGAATGAGTGACAGATTAATGAAAAGCTACAGAAGCCTGCTGCAAATGTAAAACTACAAAGGCTGATTCTTGATTGAGGTTTTACTCGTAAAGTCTTAAAGTGCTTTTAAAAGGCAAGAATTACTGCCTTCATGCTACAGCCAAAGAGGCGAAGCCGAGGCTCAACCATATCATCACGAACGGGGTGGACCGGTCGCCTAGTCTAACAAGCAAGAAGCGGTCTTGCCCCGTTGTCCATTTTGGGTGTCGCTCGGTCACATCTCCCCTGTCCAAACAGGAAACAAAGCGGGGGCGGGGGGAAGGTAGCTGCAAATGATTAGAGAATGTGCTGCTTGCTGCGAACTGTATCGAAATTATCTTGAATCGAAACTGCCACTTATTGCAATGCCTCATTTCATGGTCCCTGTGATGCAAGCAAAATGCCCATCAGAAGACAAGAAATCTCACAGCTGCACTCTAAGGGAATTATTAAGGCACTACTGGAGACCTATTCTGCCTGAGAGAAACAGAAAGGAAGCCAGACAAAACAGGTAACTAAATGTTGTTAGCAATGGGAATACCCAAGCATACTGAAACACAGAACATCCATGCTAATCACAACTTAATAAAAATAAAATTAAAACCAAACAAAAGCAAGATGAAACATTTTCAGACAGAAAAGGGAATCTGTTCAGAAGTCATTATATCAAGAAAAGAGTTAGGCCTTGCAGAAAGGGTTGTTTCATTTTTGGTCACAAATCAGAGGTACTGATTGAAAATATGTAATTGTCCAACGTACTAAATGGAAAAAAAAATTCAATCTTTGAGAGCATGAAAAACACTGTCATTTTGTGATACAATTAGTAGCTTCAGACTTTGTAATAGAAATTAAACATATAAGTGGGTCACAATTAAATCCACCTACATGATTTCAAAACAAGCAAAAAAACTATTCACATTCAGCCGAGCACCAGAGCAAGTTTAAAACCTGAAGTGCTCTGCTGTGTTGTGGTCAATTGTGCATCTCGGTCAGTCTGTGACTGAAGTGCTAAACATCTTCACCAAGATCCGCAGCAGCTGGATTCAGACTCGATAGCTCTCTGGTGACTACCCTCAGTCAAGAACTGTGGTATGTTCACATTCCAGCGTACTCTTACAGGGACGAAGTGGGCAAGGAACAGCTTAACTACGCACCATCATTTTTCTTAGCAAGCTAGCTAGAAATTCCAAGTGCAATCTATCACTACGAAGTGGCAGTGGGTAGTGAGCTGTAAAACTATGTCTGGAGTATGAAATCGGTTACTGCGGTAATACGACTTCTTTATTTCACTGGGGCATGATTAAACAGTCACAGAAATGGTTTCTTCAGGTCAGTCAGCCATAAGAGTTGAAACCTTAACTTTTTACGTAAGTCAAATGAATTCACTCTGATGTCCCCTATTTGTCAATAAGCTCCACTTACACACAAACAAGGGCTTAAGCATTTTTTCACTTTTAGGCTAGACTACAATCACAATTTTTTTTTGTTTCAGAGAGTTCCAAGTAAATATATTATTTTCTTGACTTCATTTTTTAGAGAAAGGCAAGTTGTGCAAAGTAGTATTTTATATTTTTAAAGGCTTGAAATATCTCCAGAGAAAGTGAGTCTCTGAATTATTCTTAAAAAGAAACATTTTGGGGATATTTCCATTTGTTTACAGTCAAATAGAATTATCAATATAGTTAAACTGAGATTAATTTGCAATGTCTCCCAACCGGACAGAATACTTCATTATATAATCTGTCATCAGGATTGTATGAATGGATTGATGGGAAATACCACAGGATTTCAGTTTAAGTGCTCTTTGCTCTGAGATAGATTCCTTTCTTTCATCAGCTTCTTCACATTTAAACTTCAGCAGTAATCTGGAAATGAGTGTGAATACATGCTCTGAAGGATGGCAGCTGGTGAAAGAGGTTTGCTGAGGCTTAAAGGCCTTTGTGGTGGCCTAGAAAGAAGCTTGCGTCCTCTTTTACTTCTTTGTACCTACAAAGAGATTCTTTTCCCCTTTTTAAAAGCGTGTGCCATTTTTGGAAAAAAGCGTTCTACTTGTTCAGGGCTGGCAGTTACCACGGGTCTATATTGCTTTCCACACATTAGAGACTGGTGCCTTGCTCTCACCACTACAGAAACCAATGGCATGCAGCTCGGGCTCAGTAAACCTCTTACTTCTCAGCTCTGAGACACGGTTCCTCTCCTCATCACACAAGAATGGAATATAATAATTAAGACTTATTTACCAAAATCTATTTAATTTGCTACAGAATTTGGTTACATCTCCTGTTGTGGTACAACGGTAAAAACCAGCAACGAGTCTACAGTTAATTTTACTTACTGAATACTGATGAAGTCCTTGAGCCATTCACTGATTCCCACTAGTCTGCAGAAATTAACGCTGTAGGATGCATTTATCAAAACTATCTTCTTTTTGTAGATTTGACCAACGTCAAAATCCTTGGAACACCAAACATATCAGGTGGTGTGAATTACAGGAGGTAGCATTTACGCATATAACGACAAAACCAACTACTTTTACCATAGTTGTGCTCACAGTCCCTACTGGGATCACAGGCCTGTGTGCAAAGTATTGTATAAATCCATCAAGCATTGCCCTGCTCCAAACCAACCCTTTTAAAACATACAGCCCATAAAGCCAGGAACTCCTGCTTCACGGGTGGGGCCACATTATCTGGGTTTGTGCACAGCTCATGCACCAAGCCGCTCGGTCTTCGCCTGCAGTGGACGTCAAAGACATTATGTCACATTCACGGTTTAATAGAGTTGTTAACAACTTAGGCTGCGGGTGGCAAAGACAATACAGATTTTTTTGAACACAGAGCTAGGTGCCACAGTCTTCCAATGGAGGCCTGCTGTTCCTGTGCAAGGCGCAGGCTCCCAGCTCCTATAAAGACCAGACCACCACGCAAGCTGTATACCTGGGCACGGTCATTAACACACAGACAAGAAGGGTCCTGCAGGCTGACTGGCAGCATGTTTCTCCGACACAGTCGGAAGACTTGTCTGACGTGCCACGCTAGCAACCTTTCCGAGTACAGAGATGAAGCAGGCATAGCGTTGTACTTTCTGACAGTACGCTTGTAATTACAATACGGAGATAGAGTGCAGCTCCGTTTCCTCACGACCAGTACAATGTGATGGTCACTTGCAAACTGAAATCAAAGAACTCATGACTACAATCCAGTTAAGGACATTATTTTCTAGCAATAACGAATGTACAAACAATATATAAAGTAACAGTTACGCTGCCTTTTTAAAAGCATGGAACACAGTCTAACTAGATGTTTCATCATTTGCTCACCCTTCTGACAGTATTTAAAATCCCCTAAGTAAAGGAAGTATTTTATAATTTAGACCTAAGCAGTAAAACTAAGTATTTTATATAATCTATATAAACTATAACTTACCTAAGAGATTGCTAGAGAAAAAGGCAAGTACTGTTTCAGGTTTGACTAAACACCTATTAAAGACAACAAGATTTTTTTTTTCTTCCCAGTGCAACAGAATTTGGATCAAGACATCAGTGTATACATACGAGTATATTCATACATCATCTTTATAGATCCTATGCACAATAGCCACTAACCTTGAAATGAATGCAGCTTGGTTTACTATAGAAAGTACCTCCCTTATATTCATGACCAGATGCTATTTGCTTGTGAAAAATTCCAGTTTGGGATTCCTCCATTTTTTTCTCAAAAATATCTTTTTTCTCTACCCTTGTAGCCAGCTGCTTTGGATCTATTTCTTCTTTGGATATCTAATAAGGAATATCAGTAAAAACCACCATGACTGTAAGTGTGATCACAGAATCTGTAGCGCAAAGTAGAAAAGTCCGCAAATGGAATCTTTTAGGATCTGGCCAGCCTTTGTCTGTTTCTCTCCAGATCAGTCTCCTGACTTCCATATGAAGAATTTAATTTATTCTCTGCTGTCTGTTCTGTAGCTTATCATCATCTCACACTGTGACGTAATATTTTTGACAGCAGTATTAGCTCTTCTGCACTTAAAGAGTTTTTTCCCCTCAACTTCTTAAACAAATACTCATTCAGAAAAAAAATCAGCTCACTTCACTGGAACACTTCAGTTGTGGTCCAGTGCTTCTTTCATGCAAGTATATGAATATGTACTGACATTATTTATTTTTGATTGATTATAAAGTCTGCCCTTAAAGGCCTCCTACATCTCAGAAAAGCAGTATATGCAAGTATACCTTAGAATAACATTTAAGATCTTAACGACACAATTCCACTCTATAATAGTGTATTATTTACTTCTGTTTAGAGTATAGAATACTATTTGCTAGAAAATATGCTTTTCTTTGCCTAGTATGGTATGAAAAAAGTTGTTTCCACATAAAGCAATCTGTGTTGCCAACTCAACAGAAAGTCACATTTAGGTTTTTTTTTAAACTCAAACAAGTGAACATGATGTGATGTATGTCTTCACATACCTCTGAACTAAAATTGAGGTATTGTTTTCTCTTTAAGAAAACAAATGCTGCAAGAACAGTGTCAAACAGCAATTACTCTGATGATATTCTCACATCTGAATCTCTATATCTATGAAATAAAGCCTGCATTTTAACTGCAAAATAGATAATTATTGTTTTTAAGCAAGGTTTCTAAAACAGCACTTGCCAGTGTCATTACCTCAGATATATACAACTGCTAGAGAGGCAAATGAAACTTTTCTAATCCATTAAAATACTTTTATGGATGCTGTCAAAATTCTGTAAAGACTGACTTAACAATGAGTCAATTACAAAAGGATCTCATCCATATTTTTTTTCTTTTCTATTTCTAATAAGACATATCACAATATTTACCTTGTGCAAGTCACATTCCTGACTCCAAAGTCCTGGGAACTCTGGTTCTGCTAGGGTCTTGTCCCTCTCATTCTCATCTTCACCACTGTCACAGAGCACATCGTGGGGTATTTTTCCAGAACTCTCTCCTACAGAAGCAGTTCTCTCACCAGCTGAGGAACAAGCTGACGGACAGCACCACGACTATTTGTGAAAGAACATAAGTTTTGAAGATACAGTTAAGACTGGAGGACAATTACTTCAACAGTTAACAGTTTCTGAGGAGATTTTTTAATACAAAAATGACAGGTCTATGAAGCTCAGAGGCCAAAGATGACAACTTAGCTTGATCCCTTCGTAAGACGCTGAATACAGACAAAATCTTCCGTTAAAAGCATCTATATGACATTAACTGTATACTTACAGGAGGCTAGAAACTAGTCCTCAGGCACGACAATACTGACTGTAGGTTTTGAATGTTGTGTATCACATGATGACCAAGGGCTTTGTTGTAGTATGACTGTTTCTACCAGCACCTCTCCCCCACCCTTCTTCTTTTAAATACCTAAAGACTGCATGAAGCCACTAGTTTCAGCAGGGAATTCAATTCACTCCACCTCCATTTTCCAGACCAGTACTCCCTGGAATACTGTGCAGATAAAAAAAGAACCCACCCAGGAAGCTTATGTCTGGAGAGAACCACTGTCTCCTTTCTAATACAGTGGAAAGGCTTCTCTTGTACTGACAAACTGATCTGAATCCTTACTCGGGGATGAGGGTAATTAAACAGGAAGCGAGAGTACTTTGCATGGGTTTTGATGCCTGTTGCGATTCACGTGTCCGAAAGTTCACCTGCTCTTACAAATGTGCTTAAAAAACCACCCCACACCAAACAGGACAATGTCTTTATTCATAGAAGCATCAGCAATCAAGAAAAGCGAGACTAACAGTCATTAAGAGATCTAATGGAGAAATTACTCTGCACTTGTTCTGTACTGTCTGGTATTTGGTCGTAGCCTGTGCTATTCACAGGCAAAAGAATTCACTGCCCTGCACCTTTAACAAAAAGTAAATCTAAAGACAGTTCATTCTTAGACCTTTGTTTACCTGTGATACTGCTCCAGCTGAATGTTTGCAGGTCTTCTCAATATATTGCCATGTTTTCATTCTCCACAGTAAAGAATCCTCAAGTTTACCACCACCCTTAATTGCCTTAGTACAGGATTGCCTTTTTTTCTGCTTGTGAATAGAAGCTTTTTCTTGCAATATCTGAGAGACAATCTCAATTTTTCTTGATTTTTGCTGTTCTCTAAAAGCTCTGTAATCCAATGTTGTAAGAAATATTAAACCAACCATGGTTATTTACTAATAATATTAACTACAGTCCAGTTTCTTTTGAGCCTTTAAGCTAAATAGCAAGTCTTTAAATTGGGTGCAGTGGTAATTTGTGTCAAGACACCAGGCGATTCAGAGGCTATTTATACATTTTTGCGGACTAAATATACTCTATTACAGTGTTTTAGAAGTTGAGGAGTTGACAAAGCATACCAGTCATCGCTACTGAAAATGAAGTTTTAAAATAATTTTCCTAACCTAGTTAGCTATTTAAAGAAAACTGCCTATTTGAAATCCAGTGGATTTTATCAAGGGAGGAAGAATGTTTAAAGGTAAGGACATAAGTACTGAACTTGGAAGGTATGAATTCAAAGCTATGCATGACTACAAATTCCACGATACACTGGGTAGCGTGACAAAAGCGACAGTAGATAATTTCATCTCAGTTTTAAAACACAATTTTCTGCAACAAATATTATCCACACTAGTGATTGCTTTTAACATAGTCTTTCACCAATAATTACTGATTCTAAATAGGAGCAAAGAAAATATCACTTCTCATTTAAATACAGGCTACTGCCTACTGAAGCACTTTAATGTCTGAATTTAGTCTCATGATGCCCCATTGCAGCAGATAAGTGACATTGTATTTATAATCTATTTTTGGAAAATCATGGTACAAAGAAGTTAACCATGGTTACAAAGACATGGGAATGGTATACTGGCTCCCAGTGCTATCTGCCTTAAGTATAAAGCCATCCTTGGTTCCCATGATCAGTTCTTTCTGAACCTTTTAATAGGTGATATACAAATTAATGACATAATGGTTTTAATGACTAAAAAGCTATTTTCTTTGGCATATAATTCAGAAATATATATTCAGGCTGAAATATACTGAGAGAAAACTGAGAATATGCCTTCACAGAAAAGCAGAGAGGCAGTACCCTGGGAGAAATAACTAAGCGGTCTTTCAGCAGATTAGCAGGATGGTAGCTGAAATTAGAAAAGAACTGCTGTGAGAAACATGACACGGCTAACATTAAGACTAACAAACTGTGATCCCCCTTGGCCTGCAAAGGGAAACAGCCACAGGGAGAAAGCAAGCAAGGCAAGAAGGATTAAACTTAGAGTCGGATATTTCCAGCAGATCTCTACCAACTGATACGATTATTTTATTAACATGACTTTTAGAACATATTTAGGGATAGCAGAAGTGGTGTTATGCAGCTGTCAAGACTGAAGCTTTATTTAATCAAAACTTAAGACTTACTGAACCTTTACTTATTAAATCTCTAACATTTGCTACAGGTTTCTGCCTTTGTAGCAGAGCCAGCATGCAGAAACACATACCTCGGCCACCCTCTGTTTGGTATCTTAGCTCACATTCATCTTCATAAGTGGTTAAAAACAATAATTCAGCTTTGCACTGGAGCAGATGAGATACGGGCACATTCCTATCAACTTTACTACAAAGGCAGAGGAGTAATTTAAATAAAAAAAAAAGTACAAAGGAGAGTACGCTGCTTCTGACCTTACTGCAGCGCACTATTGCAGAGATTGTCTCTAAAAGCCTAAGAAAGCTATTTAATTTTTGTAGGGACAGTGTTCAGGAAACGCAGAAGTACAGTTACTTCAGGCATCCAGTTTAGGTTCACTGAATTTCCCTCCTGGAGTAGTTTTATCTTCTTTGCAGTAATCATAGAACACAGACTCCTAGCTTTGGTTCTCCGAATAATACCTAAGCTAGAAGTTCAAGTCACTTAAAACAGACTATACAAATATCACACATACAGAGTATAAGGATGAGTTCACTCCCTTGAGACAGCATCATTGATGTTATGTTTTCAGAATCTGATTAAGAGCTCCAATACATTCCTGCATGAGCATCAGTAAGCAGCTAGGAGTTTGATAGAGCTATGGATACTTACTGTTTCTCTTTTTCATGCTCTAGCAGTCGTTTATGGAGAAAAATTTCCTTGGCAACATTGCCTCCTTCTGCCAGGATAGCTTCCCTCATTTTCATCTCCTGCTTCTTTGCCTCAAAGGCCATTGCTTTATTCCAAACCTGGAGAGTTTGGAGTTTTTCCTATGAAGCCATACAAACCACAGTTACGTAGTTGATTCACGTATTAAAGAATATAAAACAGAGAATCTAGTGTTGGTCCCCTTATCTAAGTATAAATTTGTGGTAGATTTCTCTGAAGGAGAGCTTATTGTTTTTAATATACACGTTAGTCATGGTGCGCTGAGATGCGGAAAGCTCTGACTAGGTCAGGGCTACTTCTTTACCCTTCTAGCCTGCCCTTGAATTACTACTCTATGAAGCAATGTGAAAAGATACAGTTCTAATCAAATTAGTATTAAATTAAGATCATTCCTTCAGATTCTACAGAACATAAGTAGAACAGCAAAGTAGCATAGCTCAGAAATTCTTAATATACATTATTTAAATTCTTAAGTAACTGGTTTTCTTCCATATGTTTTCTCTGTATGAAGTATTTCTGCACTGGGATCCAAATAACTGGAAATGCTTCTGGCTGAGTTTTCGGAGAACTTCTTTGTCATATGCATTATTTTCAAGAGAGCTACCCTACCAGAACAACGGGATTGTTGACAGACTAAACTCCATAAGTAGGTGTCAAAATCTACCTGTGCAAATCTAACACCATTACTCCTATAGTTAAATTCTCCCCAGTTTCAAAAGAGCTTAGGTCGGTGATCTGACAGCATCACACAACAATTCTGCAATGAAAACTGAGACGACGTTCATTAAACCCTAGCAGTCTAAGAGGGCAATTTCTTCATTCCGCATGGAAGCCGCAGCAGCAGTACCCTATTGGAAGTTATGCTGTTTTTCAGGGAAAGCACAGCTTGTATCCTTCTCTCCATATGCTCCTGAGTTTTCACTTCTTCCTTTGCATTTTTTTCATGAATTCTGTAAGCAAAGTAAAATCTTTCAGGCTCATATCCTGGAAAGCTTTTAGTATTAGAATGTTTAACCTGACAAGTAGTAATTTGACAATGTCACCATTCTTCCTGTAAGCCTCTGTGTTTACTATGATACTGGGTATGGGTACAGTGGAACAGTTGGAAGACTCTTCTATATACGTACCGCTCAAGTTACAAGTGCCAACAGGCTTTCAACTAGTTTGCTCAACAACTTTTTTTTAATTTTGAATATGAAGAATGTGTTCCACATTATGACATATGTCTGGTTGCTAAAATAAAGAATTCAGGTGTTGCTCATATAACCAGTATCTAAACAATTATGTAATGAACTTCATACGAGCCAACCACTTGTACCCACACTAAAAATAAACCCTAGAAACTCTAAAAGCCAGAAATATGTGGGCATTAATCAAGTCTGAGAGTATTCCAGCTAATATAATGGCAAACTAGGAAAAAAAAAGTAAGATCAATATATTTGGTACATTACTCAAGGTGGTGGTGGGGGAATCTTATTTGGGTGTTTGTTTTTCTTAATTATTACAAATTTGCACATGCCATCTAATGAAAAATAAACCAACAAAGAAGCAGTACAATTATTTCAATCATTTTTTCAAATAAGTTCTAATATACAAGTAAAAGTAAGTAACAAACGTTCACACTTCTTTTAGTGGCAAAATAATTCAACACCACAGTAATTATATAAACATAAACCTATGAAGAAAACATTTAATTTACCATCAAACAGAAAAGAACAGGAGCACAAAGAAACTGCCGATCAACCAATTTTACCAGACAGCAAGAAAGCTTTTTTTACCACACTTCAGATGGAATACAGAACGGCAGAGTGCAAGTTTCAAACCTGGAATTTAGTTATACTACTTCAAACTACTTCAGTCAATGACACACATATATAAAATGTTTCAAATCATTATTAATGCCTACAAGTAGTCAGACCCCTCTGCATCTCATCAAACAGGCAGTCCCTGCAGCTACAGGGAATTGGAAGATGATACTAGGACAGTAACTGGATTTTCTTCTTTCCAAGTCCTTTTGTGCCATGTAAGATTTGAATGCTTCACAGCACTGGTACTGTGGCAGAAGATTTCCAAGTGTAACAGAACCTAGCAGAAAAATTATTATTTTCCAAAGCCTAAAGGATAAAGTATTGTACAGCAGGGAATGTACAGTGACAGAAAAGAAGCGAACAATAACCTTGCCATGCTTTTTCTCAGGAAGTATACTGCTTTTTCATGGTTCCTTTTGGCATCTTCAAGAATTTTTTTATGCCTTTCTTCATATTCTTTCTGGGCTTCCTCTTCTTTTCTACAAAACACAGGCAAACCAACAGTGGCAGACAGGACTAGGGAAACCTCGATTCCAACACAATGACATCTAAGGGCAGGGTTGGGGAGTTTATTAGTATGTGCTGAAGTGAGGACATCAGTCTTCCCCCCCCCAACATGGTCGCTTGTTTTCACAAAACCTACAGACAAATTGATAAACCAGTGTCATCCTCCTCTCCAAGAAATCTCAATGAACTTGATCGTAAGTTCAGAAGGTGCTGGCAGCCAACAACGATGCAGACATATGCAGTTAGTCTGATCTAATAAACTTCATTTCCTTTGAAAAAAAGCATTCACAGTTTTTGTCTTTAGCAAGTTTATTTTCATAGACCAGAAATCTTTACTTGCATAACTGCAAGACTGTGGGCAATTCTAATTTTAATTCCATTTCCTCATAAAATGTTCCTGAAGCAACACCCAGCTAAGAAACACAATACCACTGGTATTTGAATTAGCTAATCTTCTCAGCTGGCTAAAAATAACACAGAGAAAGGAAGCAGAGTCTGACTTATAGACACTTACTTTTCTCTAGACCGCCGATTTGCTTCTGCTTGCAGTGCTGCTATTTTTTCCTTCCAAATCCGTACTTTGGCTCGTTCTTGGTATTGCATCTCTAGCTCCTCCTCATCTTTTTTAAGTTGTTCATGGAAGATTTTGTATTTTCCCTGCTCAGTTTCTATCTGCCACATCTCAAGCCTTTAAAACAAAGCGTGAGCTGTTTTCACTGAAAGACTGACATTCTTTCACTTACTTAAGGCTATGGAGTAGGTAAGGCTCTACGGTGAAAATGAAAATCTAGCCACACTTTGCTTTTTAAATTATATTGTAAATCATACCCTGTCACTGACACAGGTATTGTACCTTTCAGACTAAGGCTCATATCTAACAGCATATCTCATTTTAAAGACATCAAAAATACCAGTCAAGAAAAAAAAGAAGTAAAAAAATAAAGCTCAATGTTCTGTTTCTCAAATTTACATTTACCCAGAAGAAAATATGAAAACCAAGAAAATGTAGAAAAACAGCCTTTTCTTCAACAGTAAATAACCTCAGGGGTAGGCCATAGCTTTTATTCCTCTATGCTTGCTGAAGGAATTTAGATATGATAGGGATACATATAAACAGATTAATACAGTTATTGCGAATAACACAATAAATAAGTCAAGCATTTTAAAGCTATTACACAACACTGCAGCAGAACATAGCGTATTGTGGTTAATCACATCTATAAGCTGCCTTTGATGTGATGGCATTAATAGTTGTACCTCTGGTGCCAAAATATAAACACACTTGCCTGTTGCCTTCTGCAAAAGACAGTTTTATTCTGTCTTATATAACTAACTAATTTAGTATTGTGAACAATAAGTTACAAGCAGCAATATTAGCTCAGCGTAAAAATACACAGTACCACTACAATGTCTCCCTCATTCTCAATTTCAATCTTTTCCTTTATGCCCTATAAAAAACACTAAGAGGCATAAATTAGAAGTGTTTATGCTCATTCAGAGATCAGTATCACAGACAGGTCTACTTTAGTCCAGCTTATTTTCCATTTAAAATGAGACCTGTTTAGGTCCACAATGTATGCACAACTCCAAATAAAATCAAAACTTCATTTATGTGTGCAAAACTAACTTAGAAGCTGAGTCATAGCAACCAATTTCCTAAGAAATGAACTGTTCAGGCTAAAAGTTGCTCTCAAGATCCTTTGCCTTTCAGTCAACCTCACATGACCTCAAATTATGTAGTTCAGCACTTACAAGCAACTTCTGTAGTGATTAACTTTTGAATCCATTAAACAGCATATGAAGACCATAATAAAGACTGACTCCCATCACGCTATTTTCTCATTCCCTCACTTACATGTTTTCTTTTAGTGTCAAAGCAATTTTCAACTCAAAATCCTTCTCTTTCTCCAGTTCAGTGCACAGTCGTCTGCGCATTGCCTGAAGGCGGGACAAGGCTGCGCTGTTAACATTAAAAAGAAACAATCAGAAAGAAATTGGAACTAATAAAGGTTAAACACACACACACACAAGGTCAGCAACAATATAAAATAGCTTTGAGGCTGAGATTTATGTATTAGAACTTCACTAATTTATGCAGCCTCTTGTTTTGCCTTCTAAGTGTCCATTCTTCATTCAAAGGCATAGCTTGCTTTAAACTGTTACACATTGGTTGAAATTTACAGAGGAGTATTTATTTCAAAGGCACTGACCAGCAGTTTAATGTGACTATTCCTTTCTCAAGCTGATAAAAGTAGCATTATTAATGAAAATAAGTTTAGGCGAACCTAGACTGATTTCGCTTTTAAAATGGCATTACAATATTCCATGTACTTTGCCTACAATGGCAGCATTGCCACACAGTTGTTTATTCTCCTTGGTCTTCTCCACCCAGGAAAACTAGTAGGCAGTACACTACAGAATCAGACAGTAAACTGACTATATTCAGCATAAAACTCCCTTCCTCAACATGAAAATTGGAAATGGATCTTCTACCTGCAGTCACTAATCTAACTTCAACATTTTTGTACTGGGCATCAGTAACGCTAATGGTAGCCAGTATTTTCAGTATTGCTAAAGCATGATGCCTTTGAGCTTCATAAGCCAGAAGTTTATCAAGTCTTATTACTCAACTGTTCACTTGCTAAATATAACAGATTGTGAGAATTGCTATTTTTCTGCATATCTAGACCTCATAATTCAACCCGTCTTAAGAACTTCTACAATGTTTTTCTGTCTTTGTTGGTTTCTGTTACTAAGACTGTCTCTTTGGGATCCTGAACAGGGAGTACTAGCATCCATCGCAGGAGCCTCAGTAGCATTCAACTCACCATTTTCGCTTAGGCAGCTATTCCATTTTGGCAGTTAACCTATCTTTATCATTCATCGATATACTAACTTGAAGATTAACACAGGTCATAAAATGCAGCTGCGAAGTTTGTTCACAATACACTGGTTCCTGGTACACAAGCCACCCACTTCTTTCTATTTAAACCAAATGTGAAGAGTACAGTAAATTGCCTCCCACTTTATAGCAAAAGTGTTTCAGAACAGCTCCTGTATGCAGGACTACTCCTGAAAGGCATTCACACATTTCACAACACAGAACAAACAGAAAAAGAAATGGCGCATATATAGATACAAATCCTGATTGTAATAGTTACCAGAAGCAAACCCATGACCTCTAAAACTGCCATAGCACATTGGTGTTGCTTCATCATACTGAACAGAAGTGATTGTGGCCCTGATAAACATAATTGACAGTAGTGGGCTAGGCTGATTTAATAACCTGTTGTTATATTTTAAAATAAATGCCTCTCTCCTATCCATTGCTAAGTTTCCACCTCTTTCTGCACTGATTTACCCAACAGTATATTACCTCTAGACCAGAAAGCATAGAGATCAACGATTCCCAAGCCAATGCACCATTATTGTTTATTTCAAAAGGAGGAATTATTGCTGAAAATACGTCAACTGCAAAGCGACTGCAAGATTAGCGTTCACCAACACGGGAGTGAACGTGTTGCTCTGCTCGCTAGCTGAAAGAACAATACCCTTGTATCAGAATGGCCTTCCAAGCCAACACAGTTACATCTTAACCCAAGAATGGCAACGGGTGTCATCACTCATCTATTAACCTCTTCAATATACGTGCTTAAAAATTCTATCAGCTGTTCAACAATGTGAAGAGAGGAAAACAGGAAAGTTTCTCTCATTAATTATACACATAAACGTAGTGGATGGCTGTAATCTTTGGTATCCAGAAATACTCTCTACCTACACATTGCCAGCCTCCTCCTCTTTCTCTATTTCAATGTCTACATACTCCAGCTGCTTTGCTAGCATCTTGATCCGCAGCTGACAGGTACTCAGCTTGTCTCTGCAAGAAACAAACAGATTATTTCTCTTTTCTATGTTCTCTACCCTTTTCCATGAAACTCTTCCTTTTGGGGGCAAGATTCACAGCTCGGATTCCTTCAACCCTCCCAGCTCCCCACCACCAGCCCACTTTTTCTTTTAAGATCTTATTATGAAGTTCTTCAGAAGCCCTTGTTAATTTCAAGCAGTTTCTCCAAAAATGCAGAAAAATGTAACAAGAGTTTATTCTGACTTAATCCAACATTCAGATATCAAAAATGACAACAGCATAAACGGCATCTTTTTACATTAGCCTTCTTCAGATATATTTGCTGCTAAAGAACATCTTTGTGACCTTAACATCGCAAACCACTCATAGCAGGTGCTTATCTTAAAATACGTAACTTCACCAGCTCTAGTGTACCATTTCCACCACCGTTAAGAAAGTGTTTACAATGAATTTTCTACTTGATGTTTGTTCAACTGACTGTTGAACCAGCAGGATTGTGCAGACATCACTGAAAGGAATTAGCATCTAATTCTCCCAGACCAAACACCTCTTCTTTAACATTCATTATTATATTTCATTTTTTCAAGTATGTAATTAATTTTTATCCTTAATTCTTCACAAAAGTTTGGGGATCTATTGAATATATTGAACAACTGTGTGCATCATGCAACTTTCATGAAAAAATTCTATAAACTCCAATATTTATAACAGATACAATATCCCAGTATTTGATGGTGATTTATGCTGATGAATTCTGTTCACTTAAACACTGACCTGGCTTTTTGGACCACAAGTTCCTTTTCTTTGGCTATGTCGTCGAGCTCTTTCAGGGTCCTCTGTAAGGTTAATGTGTAAATTCTATCTGTATACTTCATAGCCTGAATGTTATTAATGTCGCCCAAATAGTGTCCCAAGCTTTCCCTTTGAATTGAAACACACAATTAGCAATGAAAACATAATGAGAAATTGAGAAGTGACATGAAGTTTGTACGTCATCCACTTAGGCATTTGTGGGTTAATTGTTTTCTGTTTTATTCTAGCAGAACTGTTACAAATATGACCAGTATAAACAAGAAAAAAAGTTAACATAATCTGTACAAGAAGTTTACATGCATGTACTTAAGGCAGTATTTTTAGACTAGGATATCTAGTGCTGAACATTCATCCCCACGTTTAGTGCATTAATGGTATGTCTTTGTTTTGAAATGTCTGCGGCTCCTCTTGACTATACCTAGGGTTTGCAAATTCTAGTTTTCCTGAACAACAGTTCAAAGCTTTAAAAGGAACATTCTAAACTAGTTGAAAACATATTATATACAGCTGATCAGTTTGTGGGGTGAGCTAATCCCTCTTATCATTTTGGTCTGCTTAAATATAGAGCAAGAAGAGGTCTGAAGGTTTGGGGGGGGAGGTTTGTTTGTTTTAAATCATTTAGGTGTATTCTGAGTTTCTCTGTTGATAATGGTAATGCTGGCATAAGCATATGTGCTATGCAACTTCCCACATACATATATTAATAAATGTTATTTGAGCTTTTCATCATGCCTTATAACCCTATGCCAGGTCATTCCAGGGCAGAGATTAACAGTCTTGTCAAAGTAAGCCAAACTGTGCTTTGATCTTTGTGAAAAGAGCAGCAACTACTTAAGGCGACATTCAAACCACCAAATTCCTTTTCAAGCATGACCTCTGTTAACATGTAAATTTATTTCTTCAGGAATAAATCCACTGTACCACCTGCTTGTAAAATCAGTGTAGTACTAATCTATCATTATACCACTTCTGTGCTAATTGACTTTAAACAGTGGTACAAAATTCTGCATCTATTAAGAAAAACTTACAGCCCAACACCGATATTCTTCGGCAGACAAATTTCTCTTTTTCCAACAGCTCCTGATGTTCTACAAGTACAGAGGGATACAAACACAGCACTACATGTTATTACAGAGGGCTGGCTGGGTCGTAGAAGTGTAAATTGGTTAGTGTAACGCTCCTTCCAGGAGAGCCAATTAGCCTACATTAATGTAGTGCAACCATTGTGCTATATGCACACACCTACAACAGCTTCAGATTAAAGTGTCCAGAGTCTGTCTTTATCTTACTCAGCTCATCATTTTAGCAGTAGTAACTAATTTAATTTATTTTTTGTGAAAGGTCTATATTGCCTATGACTCATTTGACAAAAAAATGCATAGTTGGATTAACCAAACCTTCTCTTGAAAAGGTAACACTATAAAGGAAATTACTGTTAGACCTGGTAACAAAGCAAGTTATTTACATGCTAGAATCAGATTTGTCTCGAACTCCTTCAGAAGCATCCTTGTTTCCCATCTTGCCACCACCAGCCAACTCTTCTTCAAGCTTGTATTCTAACAGATATTAAAACAACAGTTTAGTAGAGACTTTGAACTTCAAAATGCAAAGCTCTAGTACACTCGCTGTCAAGCCAAAATGTGGAGAATCAGAGATGACATTTTATAGCATCACTGTAGCATATATAAAAAAAAATTCACATGGCAAAACACATGGGACTACTATTGCAAACCAAACTAGGAAAACACTCTCTGCCTTCATTATGGAAGTGTCACCAGCAATCCAATGTATGTGGAAAAAAACCTGACCAACCAAAAAAAAAACCCCAAACCACCACAGGGCAGGTGGGGAGGCTAACGTATTGACAGGTTTTGGTCAATGGTTTAATTTGTTTATCTTACACTACCTTATCCTACTGTACTGTGAAGATAAATATTTTTGTTAAGTATTTACGTAATTAAGAAAATGACAATGAGAAAAGAACAGCCTAAGAACTCCTTTTAACGTAAAGATCAGTATTCGGCACTACACCATACATGATAATCCATAAAATGGCAGGTATGTTGCCTCACATAATATACTGAAACATGCTTTTGGGCACAATTAGAAAAAATAGCTGCCTATTAAGAGGTATCTGGTGCCAGTTTAGATGTGCTCGGGTATCCCACGTGTTCATAGAGTTGAACCTGCAGAAGACCTATGCCATGGGTTAGCTCAGTTGGTTAGAGCATGGTGCTAACAACGCCAAGTTCACAGGTTCAATCCCTGCTCACTGCAGGGGGGTTGGGCTCGATGATCTCTCAAGGTCCCTTCCAACCCAAAGCATTCTATGATTCTATGATTCTAGAGCCAGATGAGAGAGTCTAGAGCACTTCAAGTGGCACTAGATGCCAATATATGAGTAACTGAATCAAGTCCATACAGTCAAATATTACATTTTTACCATCAATAACTCCGAATCAAAATGCCTTACAGAGGTAAAAAGTAGAGAGTTTACTGCTACAGAAATAAAGGGTCAGATTTGGATTAGTTACAGCTGTGTAGTGTAACGCTAGAGAACACCTGCTGGAATCATTGCATTTACCTGGAATATCGTTCAGCCCTAAAACTGTACTGTTCCCATCTACTGAACTAGAAGACACATTAATGCTAGGTTTTTGTGAGTTACCAAAACAATTCATCCTTTTCACCTTCCCCATGTTCTTCCACATTAAAGAACTGACCAGCTTCATCTTCCTCTTCCAGAAATGGTAGAAGAGATTTTTGCTCTTCTTCCTTACTGTAACTGATCTCATTATCTTCCATACTGATAGTTCTTTCAAAATGACCAGGCTAAGAAAGAGAAGAGCACACATTTTACATAATCGCCAAGAACTTGCAACAGTGCTGACTGTATCTTGAGATGAATTACTCGCATTCAGTCAATACTTAACACATGTGAAATAACTGGATACAATCAAGCACCTTTGTACTAGTCACACATTTTAAGTATCAACTTTAATAAGTTTCTTATAGAAAAGGAAGGACACTGCCATTCTTTTTTTTCTAATAGCCATCAGTTCAGTAGTAAAACAGACCTTCTGAATGTATTTTATCCCCTTAGGCAACCACTTTACCCAGAATGATTAGGAAACAACTCCAGCAAACACTACTTGTTCTTGCATCTCATACAGTTCTCCGATGTTAAGTAAACTGTTCTCAAAAGTTGATACAATTTATTAGAATCCAGTAAATTCTGTATGTCATCTAGAATGAGTTATTATCACGTGGCTGAGCATTTCATCAAGTTCTAACTCATACAGAGACTTGTACATATGATTAATTTTAATGAAGGCAGTGGCTCAGCTTTGAGCGCATGTATGTAAATAGTTTTGCAGAACTCAAAAACATAAACTAGAATAGAGTATCTATTTTCCCTAGCTAAGGAACAGAGAAAATACACCACAGAATTTGAAGTACAGAACAGACTAACTAACTAGACTAACGCTCCTATTACACTAAGGTGACAAGAACCACCTTAAAAGTAAGAATTCCTACGCTGGGCTATAGTTGATTTAGGGCCTTTAGCGGCACTAAAAGGTAAGACAAACGTAAATGGAGCTGCCAGCGCCCCAGCGATAGCGCCAACATGTCGT